CTCAGCAAGGTGGGTCCCTGGGTGCGTGGCAGGCCCAGACATTGTTCTGGACAATGGATTTGTGAGGTTGTAGCAGGGTGGGTATAAGGGCTGGCCTAGAGGCTTGGGGAGGTGTTTTCCTTGGGGAGAATTAGAAGGCAAAAAGGGCAGGCAGGCAGTGCCAACGACTTCCAAGAAAGCGGCATGGACAATGCCAGGGGACACCAAGGGCCGAGCATTTCTTGAAGCCAACTTTGTTCTAAACGGGGTCCCGAATTCCAGGGGAAAGAGAAAACTAAGTAGAACAGGGACACAAAAGCAAGTTTTAGAACAATACCAGGAAGTATTTGCAGGTGCCTCCGTGGGTTATATGTGTTTGTCAACAAAAGGCAACATTTTATTTATTTATTTATTTTATTTGTCAAGAACGTATTAGGTAATAAGGTAAATAGAGGAAACATTAGGACAGGGACGGTAGGCATGCTGGTGCTCTTATGCATGCCCCTTACAGACCCCTTAGGAATGGGGTGAGGTCAGTGGTGGGTTGCCCCCGGTTCACACCGGTTCTATAGAACCGGTAGTAAAACTGGTGGGAGGCTCCGCCCACCAACCCTGACGTCATCAAAATGCTTCTGCCCATGCGCAGAAGGGTGTGGGCAGCCCCGCTGCGAACTGGTAGTAAAGGTAAGTAGAACCCCCCCTGGGTGAGGTCAACAGTAGACAGCCTTAGGTTAAAATTTGGGGGATTTTGGGATGAAACCACAAAGTCAGGTAGTGCATTCCAGGCATTGACCACTCAGTTGCTGAAGTCACAACCCTGCCCCTTTTCTGGGTGCATCACTGGCCACCATCGTAACCCGTTTGACACATTCCGAGGACAATCCCCATATATTTTGCCTCTGCCACTGTTGCATGGCTGTGCTCCCCCCCTGCAATTATCACATCCTCTTCCAAAGCAGGCCTTTTTTTAGAAAAGCATATTAAAGGTAGCAAAGAGAATGAAGGGTGGCCACTTCCTGCCCACAAGCTCTCCGAAAGTGTAAGTTACCGAAAAGGAGGAGGAATATCTGTAACAATAGAGGAAGCGTGCCCCAACTTCTAAAAGCAGACAAGCATGGTTGGCCAGTGGATGGACAGCCGTTGTGAGTCTTGCTGTCAAAAGGAAAATGCACCGTACGTCCCGCATCAGGTGTTTGTTTATCAAGGTGGAAGGAACATGCAGCTGGATGGAACCAACAGCAAGAGGCCTGTTCAAACCAGCTCAAGCGTTTCTCCTAAATGACAACAGTTGGTCTTCAGAACGGACAAGGAGATCCACCCAGGGGTGAAATGCTCCTGGTTCGGACCGGATCGCCCGATCCAGTAGCGATGGCGGTGGGTGGTTGGGAGAACCGGTAGCAGAAATCCCTCCCCCCCCATGCCCAGCTGAGCCACGCGATCATCAGAGGTTTGTTTTTTTTTACTTTTAAAAACATTTTTCTACAAATGCTTTTAAAAGTAAAAAAAAAAAGCACCTCTGATGATCAGAGCCTTTTAAAAGCATTTTTTCTGCAACCAAAGAAAAAAAAAGTTGGCCACGCCCACCCAGTCACATTACCCCACCACCAAGCCACACCCACAAAACCGGTAGTAACAAATTTTACATTTCACCACTGGATCCACCCCTAAACTGAGGAAGGAGGGAGGGAGGGAGGGAAGGAAGGAAGGACGGAAGGAAGGAAGGAAGGAGATGAAGCCTTGTTAACAAATGAAAAATTGACAAATCATCCAGAGAGAACATTACATCTCAGTTGTCAGAGACTTCCTTCAGTGTATGTTTCCTTCATTAATGTTAGAGAAGAACGGATGTCGCTGAAGTTGAATTGGCCTGATTTCTACAAAGGGTTGTCCTACATTATTTATTGTTAAGCCACGTGGCAAATGTGCACATGAGATTTCAAGGAGACGTTGACAAGGCTGGCAGTAGAAAAGTGGCAGTGACTGGGTGTCTGGCAGAGAAAGAGGGCACACCCAGGGGGCCTTCCTAAAGAGGGGCAAGGGGAAGCAGTGGATGCCCACCAAAACGCTTTCAACTTCACAGACCATGATGAGCTGCAAAAGAATCCCTCCCAGTTGGGAGTTGGGTGTCCATCAACGGCGTCAAAAACATCTGGGCAGCTTCTGTTGAAGCCAACATCAACGGAAACACTTTTGAAGCAAAAATCTACTTCCTTGATGCCTGAGTTGATTTGAGTGACCAGAAACGCCAAGGGAGACACATAAATCTTGTTTGGCAGCCATGAGAAGTGAGTTTCCGTGAATAATTATTTGGATGGCTGCATCTCTTCGTGAAGACCTTCAACTTGGGCAGGAAAAGAGCCGGTCAGCTGGGAGAGGAGCCAGCGAGTTCGTTTCTCCCAGGGTTTCTCAACTTCAGCCAGTTTAAGACGCGTGGACTTCAACCCCCAGAAATGGCTGGGAGATTCTGGGAATTGAAGTCCACACCTGTTAAAATGGGTAAAGTTGGGAAATATCTGAGAGCAAAAAACCGATAAGGAGAGAACTGAATCAAGACGGAGGATCAAGGGGGATCTTCCTATGATGGGCAGGAGATACAAGAAAGGTGAAAGGAAGATCATCTTCTCCTAGTGCAGGGAAATGTGGAACTGAGGTCCAGAAGATATACGGACCAACCAGAGGTGGGTTTCAGCAGGTTCTGACCAGTTCTGGAGAACCGGAGGCGGAAATTTTGAGTAGTTCGGAGAACCGGTAGTAAAAATTCTGACTGGCCCCGCCCCCATCTATTCTCTGCCTCCCGAGTCCCAGCTGATTGGGAGGAAATGGGGATTTTGCAGTAACCTTCCCCTGGAGTAGGGTGGGAATGGAGATTTCGCAGTATCCTTCCCCTGCCATGCCCACAAGCCACACCCACCAAGCCACACCCACAGAACCAGTAGTAACAAATTTTGAAACCCACCACTGGGACCACCATTTCCTCACAGGACTTTAAAAGAAGATAAGATGAATTCATGGCAGGCCTGGTTCCTAGGAGATGGGACAACGGTTTGACAACTTGGATTCCACAAGTTGCAAAGTCCACAAGTTGCAAAGGAGACACGGCCCCTTTGCAACTTGTGGACTTCAACTCCCAGAATTCCAAAAGGGCCGCCGTTCCACATCCTGCCCTAAAGCCTCTGCTTGCAGATGGCTACTCAGATATTCCATTGGCTCCTTGTCACTGTCTGAATAGCGAGTCAGCTGGGGTGCAGCAGCCTTGCCTATCCCAAAGAAAACAGCATTCCTAGCCGGTGATTGCACTAAAAGTGGTGTAGCCTGGGCTGTGTCCCTGGGCTGATTCCCCCACGCCGAATGGACCCATCCTGGGGAAGAACGTCCCATTTGGGGGTCCTGGGCGGTATGTGGAGGATCAGGTCTGATCAGGAGCAAAATCAGCTTCCTAGCAGAGCGATGCGGGGGTGGGTAGGTGGGCATGAAGCTTTCAAGCAGTGGAGCTTCCTCCAAGCAGCAAGAAATGACTTGAAAAACCCCAGGGCAGAACTGAGTCATTGCTAGAAACGGGGCCGTTGGAGAAACATGTGAGATGTCTGAAGACTTCCTTAGGTTGGGTGTCATTTTCCCCTGAGAGGGGCGCTGGGTTCGCCTACCAATTCCTTCATGACACCCACCCCCACCCACCCAATTCCCCGCCTGCAGATGGAAAGCTGAGGGGTGTGTGTGTGTGTGTGTGTGTGTGTGTGCTAACTTTGCAACCATTTCCATGAGTTTGAGAAAAAAGGGGCAGCCAGAAATTTGAGAGGAAGTGAGCGAGGCAAGGGGGGAGCAGAGAAGGTGGCTGGCATTTTTGTGGGTCTCGTGGTCCTTTCCGGCCCGCTGAGCTTCCTGTGAGAAAGGCAGCCATTAGCAGGGGAGTTTTGCGGCCTCTTCTCTCGCAGGGAGGCGGGCAGGACAAGCCTTGGCTACGCGCTTCGGTTTGCTTGCCAGGCGTTGGACAGATGGCAGCACTGGGTGTCTGCCAACCAAGCGAGCTACATCTTTATGAAATCCTCTCTTTGGCTCCTCCACCAACCGGCTGCTTGGGAGGAACCTGTGAGCAGGGAAGGCCGGCCGAGAAGATGCTCCTTCCTTCTTCCGGACCATTTAACTGAGCAGCTGGGGAAGCAAAGGCTGCTTGGCACACACACACACACACACACACACACACTCCCCCCTCCCTCCCTGAAGGAGGCATCAGAGAATCCCCAAGGAGTTTGAGGCTTCTTTTTAAAAGGCTTCACTGATTCACCAATGTTAAAAACTTAATAAACGCGTGCTAAAACGGAATAACGCAAGGACTGTTCAGAATACCCAGCACCCTGGATGGCAGCTCTCTCTCACACGTACTGCTTGTGTTTCCTTTCTCCGCAATGCAATGTGCAACTCACAGGTTTGAATCCTGAGACGCTGCGGACATTGTGTGAGGTTTTGTTTTACTATTACTATTATTATTTTGCAAGTGTTCTGGAGCAGAACAGCTGGCAGGAAAAAAAGGCTCAGAAGAGGGTTGGCAGCTGCTGCCCCCTGGTGGCGGCTCACAGGCAATGACTGATCCCTGCTTAGGATGGTGGGGTGGGGGCAGAGGCAGGTGGGCTGTCCCAGTTGCTAAAGTGGCATGGCTCTCAAACCAAGGTAAGAACGGAGCACCAGGTTTAGTGCAGTCGGGAGGAAGAGCTTGTGGTTCTGCTGAAAGGAAAGCAGAAACGGAAGGGCCTGATGGAGGAGGGGAGGTCCAAGATTGAGCTGTGAGGAGGCCATTCTGCACCCACCAGGAGAAAGCCTGGTCCGTGCATCAGACTCAGGGCTGGACCCTCTCCTCACTCTCAGCCAAGGGAGACAAGATGGGAGATGGAGGCAAGGAAGCTGCAGGTGAAGAAAAATTCAGCATCACCTGTTGCCCACAAGAAAGCTGGCTAAAGGCACGGTACAAAACAAACCAGCTTTAAGAAGGAAGCCCTTGGTTATTTTGACAAGAATCACCCCACTCATTCAGATTCTAAAATGGCTTTATTCCTTCTAAGAATAAAGTCTGCTAAAATTTGACCCACTCCTCCAAGTATAGGCATCCAGGAGACACGGTGATGAGGTCAGACATCCCGACTTCCTCACCCCCAATGAGATTTATGTAAATGGCACCATTTAAATCATTTGCAGAAGGACTGCATGATAGAGGTGATGTCATCGTCCTGTGGATGTGGGTGCCTCAAAACAGGTCTGAAAAAGTGCTTTCCAGGCCAAACACAGAAAGAAACAAGCAACCGTTGGAATTCTGGGTTCAGTTGAGTCACAAGGGTGACCCTGGGTGGTAACCAAGGACTTCCCTTCCCATCCACGTGAGGCCATGAAGAGGCAGAGATGCAGATACCAGATGCTGAGGAAAAAGCCTTCTCCGGGGGAGGACCAAGAGCTGGAGATCTTCCTCAGCAGGTGCCTTTAGACTTGGCCTATGGAGACACTGCTCAGGTGAAGGAAGGACCTCTGGAGGTCACCATCTCCATTGAGAAGACTCCTCCCAAGCTGCAGTTGGTGAGGGACCTCCCCAGGTAGTCCCAGGCAATTGGTGGCCTTGGAGGGCTGACCTCTTTCCAGCTTTGGCCTGGTCCCGTCGAGGAAGAGGCTTACGGCAGAGTGACCATCCGGCTGATGTTGCGTTCTGCTGAAAAATGGCGTTTGTGCCTCAGTCCAGAAAATCGCTCGTTCAGGGTCACGCTGGTCTAAAGAAGAAAGACACAAAGGGTGCCAAGTTGTGTTTGTAGAGAGAAGCTAAGAGGAAACTCCCCGGATAGGAGCCAGATGTGCGTGTAGGATCCCTCCCTGAATGGGAATTAGCTTCGTCCGACCATCCCCATCTTTGGGTCCTTCAACTCCCAGAATCCTTTGCTGGGCAGGCTCCAGGTGGAGAAGCCTGGTTTAAAATTTTGAGACCAGACCACCTGTCTGATCCAGTTCCTTCTTTACTAAGTTGCATGATCTTGCTGGAGTAGGGGAACATTTAGGCAGCTCCAGGAGGAAAAGATCACCAAAGGTGCCTGTGATCTGGCTGGGAAACCTACACTGCTCCTTCCTTTTGCTGCGGAAGGTCACATCATCCATCTCCATCAAGCATCTGATGACAGGACTGTCAGTCTGATGGCCCCCATCTCAACCTCCCCCCATCGCTTAACCCCCCAAATACCTGATTTGGATCTCAAAAGAGGGCTGTGAAAATATCTACAGACCCCTCACATCCTGGACATCAACTGTTTCAACTCCTACCCTGAAAACGACGCTACAGAGCATTGCACACCAGAACAACTAGACACAAGGACAGTTTTTTCCTGAATGCCATCACTCTGCTAAACAAATAATTCCCTCAACACTGTCAAACTATTTACTAAGTCTGCGCTACTATTAATCTTCTCATCGTTTCCACCACCCATCTCCTTCCACTAATGACTGTATGACTGTAACTTTGTTGCTGATTGCTTATTTGTACCCTATGACTATCATTAAGTGTTGTACCTTATGATTCTTGATGAATGTATCTTTTCTTTTATGTACACCGAGAGCGTATGCACCAAAGACAAATTCCTTGTGTGTCCAATCACACTTGGCCAATAAAGAATTCTATTCTATTCTATTCTATTCATTTGGGGGAAAACATAGAAGGGCGCCTAGCCCCCTCTTTCCTTTCGCTCCAAGGCTCCCTGGAGGTCCTGAGGGGTCCCCGGGGGGTCATTTCTGGCCTGAGGGAGTTCTCTACCTGGTTAGCCATAGCCCGGAAGTTGAATCTTAGCATCACTCCTCTCGGCTGCCAGCGGAGCTGCGGGTTCTGGCTGTTCCGCCTTCTCAGGAAGGGGCGCTTCGGTCCTGGCCTGCAAAAGAGCCACACGGTTCTGGGAGCTGGAAGTCCTCCACACACCTCCAAGTTGCCAAAGGTTTTACTCTGGGCTGGGGAGATGTAGAAAAAAGAGGCCCTCCGACTTGGTGGTTAATCTGGTCTTTCAAAATCTTATTTATTCATTAGACTTGCGTGCCACCTAAAATCCAAGCCACGTGGTTCTTTTTTCACCTGCTGACACACCAAGGGGTTGCCCAGTGGTATCAAGGGTGATGAGCATTTTCAGAGAGGTAAACCCCTGGTCTATGTGGGTCGCAAGACCCCTTTGGTGTCTCCTTTGCTTGCAGGGGAACATTCCTCCTGCGGATCGTCCCAAAGGTGCTTTTTCAAAAGGCAACTTGGACTTTGCTTTTCCTTGAAGACATTTCTCTTCTCATCCAAACACCTTCTTCGGTTCTGACAGAATGAATGGGAGAGAAAGGAAGGATTCTATAGTCCATTCCCCACTGTACAGTCCGAACTGAAGAAGCTTCCTGGATGAGAAGAGAAACATCTTCAAGGAAAAACAAAGTCCAGTTGCCTCTTGAAAAAGCATCGTTGGGACAACCATCACCTGGAGGATTGGGAATCTCCACAGACATCCTCCTGCAGATCTCAGAGACAAAGCTACTAGTCCAAGACTCACAGTCCCGGGGTCCTGAAATCAGGGGTGAAATCCAGCAGGTTCTGACAGGTTCTGGAGAACCGGTAGCGGAAATTTTGAGCAGTTTGGAGAACCAGCAAATACCACCTCTGGCTCGCCCCAGAGTGGAGTGGGAATGGAGATTTTGTAATATCCTTCCCCCAGGAGTGGGGAGCGAATGGGAATTTTGCAGTATTCTTCCCCTGCCACGCTCACCAAGCCACACCACACCACGGCCACCAAGCCACGCCCACAGAACCGGTAGTAAAAAAATTTGGATTTCACCACTGCCTGAAATCCAAGTGTCTTAAGAAAGAAACATACCCCTGGGGGTGGCCAGCCTGGGGGTTGGACACCGAGACTGTCAGGACAGCTCCGGAACTGGGCTGCGTTCTCCATCTGCCAGAAGAACAAAGCCATCATCAATCCATGGAGACAATGAATAAGCTGAACAAGGTCTCTTCTTTGCTATTTATTTACCTTCTCACCCGTGTAACTCTCTGCTCCATCTTGGACTTGATTTGCTGTTGGAGAAACAGGAAGGACAAGCATTAAAAAACCCGAAAGCGAAGCGCTTACAGGAGACAGTTTGTTAAATGGCTTAAAACAGGAAGGTTTCCAGGTGCCGTGCCAGTTTGGGATTAGAATTAGACAAATGTTGGGGAAAAACGCATGGATGAATGCAAACTCATTGTTCAAAGGCAGCTTCCTGTGAAACAGGAATTGTGGGAGATGCAGGTCAGAGCAGCATTTCTAAAACAATGATAGAACTTGGACCACTGGTGAAATCCAATTTTTTTTACTACTGGTTCTGTGGGCGTGGCTTGGTGGGCATGTCAGGGGAAGGATACTGCAAAATCTCCATTCCCTCCCCACTCTGGGGTCAGCCAGAGGTGGTATTTGCCGGTTCTCCGAACTGCTCAAAATTTCCGCTACCGGTTCTCCAGAACCCATCAGAACCTGCTGGATTTCACCCCTGACATGGACCCCATTCACACTTTTCTGAATGCTTCTAGCAGAGAAGGGAAAGAAAAAAACCAGCGGTAACCACAGGCAGCTGGTTACACCTCAACTCCTCATCTTTAAAATGGATAGATAACAGAGATCGGAGTTTCACAGTTACTGCAGGACGTGAAGGAAGATAAAAGATGCCAGTGGGAAAAATGCAAATGAAAGGAAACTGACCCGTTGGTTGAAGTTGAATTTGACCTGGTTCTGGCGGAAGGCTCGTCCTTGATTTAATCGGAAGGGTCTGCAATTGGCAGAAAGAAAAGGGTCTCCAGTTAAATTCAGCCGTCAATGCTGTTCCCAACTCCTGTCATCTGAACTGGAGCGTGGACAGAGTTTGTTATTTGAGATTCCCAAGTTTGGGGGTACACGGACGTAGTCCTTGGACCTTCAACCGGGGCCTCACATTTGCCCTCTCCCCCAACTCCTCACCCTCGTGAAAACTCGATTGCGTTTAAACCCACTGACCTCCGAAATGTTGTCCCTGCTGTTCGGAAGGCTTTGGCTCTTGCGGGTGCTTCTGGCTGAGAGTCTTGGGGGGCTCCATCACCGCTCCTGCCTGCGGGGCCTGTCCCTGGCTTGTCCTGGAAAAGATGCCCAGCAACTCACCTCGGCAGCTTTGGCCTCTGCAGGGCTGGCCTTTGTCGATTTGGAGCCCCTTGGAGGGGGAGGGGAGGAAGGAGGGTCTGCTCCTACCTGCTGGGCAAAGGCTGGCCGGTTGAGGGGGCTCCTGCCCTGCATCTGCCCCGCTGCTCTTGGGCCTGGGGTGCTCATCCTGCTCCAGAAAGGCTTCCTGGCCCAGGGTGGCTTCCTAAATCCTTTGGGAAATCTGCTAGAGCCTAAGGAAACAAACCCCGCCCCTTTTGATTTGAGTTCCTGGGTAGAAGGTCTAGTGCGGGTGTCAGCAACCTGCGGCTCTGGAGCCACATGCGGCTCTTTGGGCCCTCTGCTGTGGCTCCCTGTCAGGTGATCCCACCACTGGCTGGCCCTCCCCCTCCCAGTCACTCCTCGCCTGGCCTGAGAAGGTAAGAACGGCGGCAGTGGATGGAGAAGCGGCCAGGGCAGAGACAGAGAGATACAGAGAGAGGGGGGGAGAGAGAGATACAGAGAGAGGGGGGGAGAGAGAGATACAGAGAGAGAAGGAGAGAGAAGGAGAGAGGGAGGTAGGGGAGAGAGAGAGATGTGAAAAGGGTTTTGTGGTTCCTGGTGTTTTTTAACAACCGGTTCTCTGCCCTAATGACCAGCTGGGTAGACATGGCTAGGGGGGTGTCATGTGACTGGTGAAAGTGAGTGACATGAGTTGGCCACGCCCACCCAGGTTTTGTGGCTCCCGGTGTTTTCTTTTCTGTGGGAAACCGGTCCAAATGGCTCTTTGAGTGCAGACCCCTGGTCTAGTGGAATTCATCTACACACACCCCATATCCTTGGCAGAAATTGCTCCAGACGCCAAGACTTTCTCCTTTTTAATGCAACCAGGTTGCTGTCATCCACAGGCCATTTTTTAAAATGAGGTATTTCCCAAACTGAGACCTTTAATACCTGCCAAGCCCACCCAAAATTCATTGAATCCAGGTGCCCCAAGGGGAGCCCCCTAACGCAATCTGAGTACAGTTGCAACCTCCTGGCAGTGCTCCCCAGCATCCCTCTGCTCCAGAAGGGGGGGGGGTATTCTTTGCCGGCACTTTTGAAGCAGATTTTAACCCTTCACCAGCAGGGCACCAGATTGGGGAGACCTCTCTCCAAAGAGCGAAGGGCACAAGCCCCCTTGGCTGGCCCTCTCCTTCACCAGTCCCTTCCACCCACCTGGCAGGGTTGGTGGTCCCCAGTTCTGGAATCGAGGCCTCCTGTTGCCAGAGACCGGGTTCCGGGTCTTCAGCTGGGGCCGCCAGGGTTTCCGGTTCGGTTGGGCCTTCTGGTTACGCTTGATGATGTCATCTAAAGAGGGCAGAGACGCAGATGCCCAAACTTTCCTTGGCACTCACAAGGCAGCTCAATAGACAAAACGCCCAGACAGAGAGCTAAGGCAGGTTGCAAGGGGTCCATTACCATACTGGTAAATTTTGTTCTTTGGTTAAGGACAAACAAGGACACTGACCAGAAGCAAGATCGGACATTGCACCCCAAATATTTGGAAGGGGGGCAGCAGTTTCCTTGCCTATGAAACTGCCAGCATAAGGAAGCTTAACCCTTTCCAGGGCAGCGGTGGTAAGGGGAGAGAGGTGCTTGCAAAACAGCTCCGGCAGCTGGGAGATATTTCCAGCCGGCTGACTTCAGGAGGGCTAGGATGGTGCCCAGCAGAGCCCGTGCCAGGGAAATGCTTGGCACCGCGGCTCATCCCTCTCCAGAGAGGCGCTGGCAGGGCGCCGGTTCTATTTCTGGCCATGGGCGCTTGGGAGGGGGAGGGGAAGGAGGAGGCGCAGCAGGGGTCCCAGGAGCCCCTTTGAGGAGCTGTGGGGGGGGGGGAGACCCGAGGGAGCCCGGGGGGGGGTGGGAGAGGGGGAAAAAGGGGAGAACGGGGGCCGGGGGGGGGGGGGGGTGAAGTCTCTGTTTTCGGGATTGGGGTTGGCTTTGCCCAACAGGTTAACAGCATGGACCAGGAAGAGGGTTTGGGGGATCCGGAGCACCGCGAGAACCAACTTTTTTTGACTCTCGGACGCCCCCCGCCCCGCCCCAGGGGCCCCCCTGGCTACTGAAGGGCAGTCGGAGGGCGCTTTAGCGGCGGCTGCTCCCCTTCCCCCCTCCCGATCCTGTCTCCAAATGAGGCGCAGCCCCCGACCCTTCCCCGGGAGCCCACATCTCACCCAGGGACAGGTCGATCTCCTCGCGGGGGGCGGCGGCCGCGCCCGGCTCCTGCTGCCCGATGCCCGGCACCTCCATGGCTGGCGACGGACGGGGCAGAGGGCCGGCCTAACCGCCGTGGGGCATCCCAGCCCCCGCCCCCTCCCCGCCCCCGGGGGTCGCCCGCCTGGCCGCTCGGAGCCGCCTCGTCCCGGCCCGGAGAGCGCAAAGCCAGGCGAGCAGCCGCGGACGGAGCGGGCTCCTTCCTTCCTCCGGTTCCCTTCCAGCCCTCCTAAGTCCTCTTCCATTCAGCTCCCTTGGATGAAGGGGGGGCAGCCCCCAGAACCGCGGCCAAGGTGCCTCCCTTCCGGCCGAAGGCTCGCCCCCCTCGAGTGGCCTGGGGGCTTCCTGCCGGTCCCCCCCCCCGCCCCCAGGAGTGGAGCCCAGGCTGTCCTGCCATGGCAGAAGCCAAGAAGTTGCTGACGGGGGTCGCGCCCCTTCCTCTGCTAGAGGGGGGGAGGGAGAAGGCAGGCGCTGCAGCTGGTGCAATGGGGGCTCCCCCATTTGAGGAGCAGCAGCCCCCACCCACCCGCTCCCCCTCCCACCAAAGGGAACTCCGACGGCCCCACCTGTCCTTCCACCGATCGCCCAGCTCCCAGGGGGAAAGGAAGCACCGCCAAGCTCCCAGGTTAAAAACGTCGTCACCTTTATTCATTTCATTTTCCAAATTGTGGCCACGGTCCCCCTTCAAGCAGACACCAAATCTCCCTGCCCCACCCGGGTGTTAGAGACCCGAAGTGCCTTCGTCCCTCCAGAAGAGACTGAGGCGGCCAGCCCCCATCTCCCCCATCCTCAGGGCACGATGCGCATCTGGGAGTTGGGCTCCTCCAGCTTGAAGAAGGGGAAGATCCTCTCGCCCAGGAAGACGGCGTAGGAGAGCAGCGCCACCGGCTCCCGGGTTGCCGCATCGAAGAAATGGACGGTGCCGCCCTCGTAGTCCAGGTAGAGGCGGAAGCGGCAGGTGCCGGACTTGGGCTCGGTGGCGGGCAAGTGCTCGGGCAGCAGCGCCCAGATGCCCTCGTCCTCAGAGATGGTCACCGGCCCCTTCCTGCAAACCGAGTCCTTCATCACCCCGAAGGCCCAGCCCTGGCCGCTCGAGGTCACCTCCACCTGCCAGCAGTGTCGTCCCGCCGCAAACCCCTTCTCCGCCAGGATGCAGGGCGTGGTGTCGAAGGCCCGGCGGCCGGGGAGCAGGCCGCTGGGGGTGGCGTCGTGGGTCACGATCTTCTTGGAGGCGGACAGCAGCAGGTGGGGATGAGCGGTCAGGCGGTCCATGGTCACGTCGGCTTCGGGAGGAGGAGGAGAGACACACGGGTCAGAAAGGGCAAGGGGAACAGCCTCGTGGGGTGGGGTGGGGCAAGTTGACACCCCCCACCACCACCACTAAGGGAGCTAAATCCTAATCTCTCCAGCTTTGCTCCGATCGCTGGGACTGCTGGGAGTTGTAGTCCAGGTATCCCTGGAGAGGCATTGGCTTTTGTCCCACAAGACAGGCTAGGAAGCCTTGGCCCGTGGGGGGCAACCTTTCTTCCCCATCCGGAAGCCAGCAGGCATGGCAGGAGGAAGGGGCCCTCCCCTCTGCACTTGGGGGCTGCTTAAGTCCACAAGGTCTTAAAGTTGACAAGTTGAAGACCCCTGATTTAGCCAATTAAACGATGGTGGGTCCACTTTCCCCACCCTCAACCCTTCCAAGGACTCACCTCTTTCCGTCAGGGACACCAGTGGAAGGGCATCTGGAGAGACAGACAAGAGAAATAGAAAGACGGTATTTTGGGGGGAAAATGGCAAGAAATGCAGAGACCTGCCATTCCCTCTAGTTCAGGGGTCTGCAGCCTTAAACACTCTAAGAGCCATTTGGACTTGTTTCCCACAGAAAAGAAAACACCGGGAGCCACAAAACCCTTCCTATGATTGCCTATTTCTTGAGCAGCCACAAAACTAACATATGTAGTTGAATTAAAGCTCTGTTTTCTTCTGAAACTTTTCTTTTCTTGGATTTATCCATGGTTGGCCTACTGGGGGTTGAAAAGCTCAATAAATTGCATGCTGGCAAGTGTCGCACATTGGTGGTTGTGACGCATATTTTGAATGGCAAGGAGCCGCAGCAGAGGGATGAAAGGGCCACATGCGGCTCCAGAGCCGCAGGTTGCTGACTCCTGCTCCAATTAGTATGGAGAGGAAAAAATGCTCTTTGGACAGCAGTTTGCACACAAGCCTACTATTGGCTAATCACCTGGGGAGGGGGGTCCCTACCCAGAATTCCCCCCTTTTGCTTTTTTTTCTTGCACAGCTCAAAGGCACCACCCTCCGGCTGGCCTGGCCAAGGGTTGTCAGTTATTCAACACTCCCCCCCCCCAAGTCACTCTGACAAGAGCGGCCACCTTTACATACACAAAACACCACAAATGTCCCTGGATCTGTCCATCTCAGCCTGTTTTACCACAACCCAAGCAATCGCGGCTTATTCAACAGATTACAATTTAGCAAAACCCTTGGATGGGGTCCCTCTCAATCATGCATTATAAAAACATTTGCTCGTGGGGCTTGGGAGATCCAAGCATGAAGGTACAGCCCTTGCCCAAGAAATTCTGGGGGTGCAGCAAAGCACCCCAAGTGGCTCTTTGCCCAATGGTTAGAGCCTGCACTTAACTAAACCTCACTGCCCTGATTCACACCTTCCCTCAAATTCCCTAGATTTTGCACTCTGCTTCGTGGTATTTGCTTAGCAGGACTTTCTTTGTCCTCCTGGCTTCCAAAACGGCTCCAGAACAAATCCTTACCTTTGCACCTCTTCAACGTATTGTGCACAAAAAGACTTCTGAGGGAGAGATCCCACATTTTCTCTTTGAAGGGAGGGAAGATTCCTTCGGGAAACTGAGCCAGAAGTTCTTTGCACCTAGAAACACCCAGCAGGGAAAGGATTATCTGCCTGCCAGAGTGGGCAGGAAACCTTCAGGACTCGGGGAACAGCAGGCGGATTGTAGAATTTCCCTGCCCACAAGTGTGCAAGCAATCTTTCTATCTAGAGCAAAGGGAGAAATAAATAAGGTGCCTCAAAAATAGTCAGATTTGGGAAGGAGCCCAGCTTTAAGAGAAGAACCGGAAAAATCGAGTTGGTAGATTCTCATGCATTGCACTAAATCAGGGGTTCTCTACCCTAATGACCGGCTGGGTAGGCGTGACTGGGGGGGGTCATATGACTGGTGGAAGTGAGTGACATTGAGTTGGCCATGCCCACCCAGGTTTTGTGGGTCTGCGAGGGGGAAAATTTTAACGTACCTGGCCATCACCTCTTTGATATCCTGGAAGGAAAGACAGGAAAGTCATCAGCTGTAAAACAGGCATAATAGCAAGGGCAAGCAAGGCCCATCCTCCCTTTTGACCAAAAGCAGGGCTATCCTCCAACCTTGGCCACTTGAAGTCCTGTGGACTTCAGCTCCCAGAATTCCCCACCAGCGTGGCTGCTCAGGAATTCTGGGAGGCCACAAGTCTTCAAGTGGCCAAAGATGGACACCCTGGCATTGAAGGGCTCGGAATCCTTTTTTCCCAAGGTTTTCAGATCCGTTGGGCTTGGAATGGAATTCTCGCTCAATACAGAGGAGCAAAACAAGTCCACAGAAAGCTGGAGGCCAGGCCTGGCTCTCCCACCACCACCACCACCCAGGCAGGGGGTTGCTCATCCCTGAACCTCATTCGTTTGGGTTTGGTTTTTTTTTTACTACTGGTTCTGTGGGCGTGGCTTGGTGGGCGTGGCAGGGGAAGGATACTGCAAAATCCCCATTCCCTCCCCACTCTGGGGCCAGCCAGAAGTGGTTTTTGCCGGTTCTCCGAACTACTCAAAATTTCCGCTACTGGTTCTCCAGAACCTGTCAGAACCTGCTGAATAGCACCCCTGCCCCCCCACCCCGCTTCCTGGAGGCTCCCAACCAGCCTACCTTCAGGAATTCATAAGCGGGTTCTTCAAATTTCCTCTCCAGCTCCTTCGCGAAGGCCCGGACTTCGTGGTGGTTCTTGGCCAGGATGGCCAGCTCTTGCTCCATCTCTTCATTGATCCATTTGGCTGCCCTCATCTGGTCCAGCTGAACCGTCTTCACCATCTCATACATCTCCTTATATCCCGAGCTAAACTTCTGATTGTCACGGTCCATAAGTTTCTAAAAATAACCCCAAACCATCTTAAGGAAGGAGACCCCCCCTGAAAAGGCAGCCCTCCTCCCCAGAGAGAAGCCAAGCAAGACTCTACCTCCAGGTTTTCTTTTTCCATTTTCACATCTAAAAAGCTGTCTCGGATGTGGGCCTTCTGGATTTTCAGAAGGTCCAGAAACACTCGGACTTCGGTCTGGAAGAAAGAAGCTGTCATTGCAACTGGAGACCAGGTGCTGCTTTTGATCTGGGAGAGATGCAGAGCAAGGCCCCTCCCAGCCCTGGTTTTTTCATTTATTTTGTTTTTTTGGTGGCCCTGGCAAAGCTACCATCAGGCCAGAGGAAGGTAGTTGAGTTGGCTGCACCTAAATTCCAGTCTGGAGACAAACAACCTCCTCAGTTAATGCCTGCACCTGAGTGCAGGTAACTTCTACACGGGGCAAAGTTTTAGTACATCCCTTCACCCTGTGAAGTTGCTGGGCTTACTGGCTGCTGCCCTCTGAGCAAACATGAGCTACTTCTGTGTAGCTGAAACAGGACCACAGAACATCCCAAGGCAGGGGTCTCCAACCTTGGCAGCTTTAAGCCTGGCGGACTTCAACTCCCAGAATTCTTTGCTAGCTGGGGAATTCTGGGAGTTCAATTCCTCCAGGCTTAAAGTTGCCAAGGTTGAAGACCCCTGTCCCAAGGCATAACATGGTTTGTTCGTTGCCTTAACAGGTTGTCCATCAACTCAACCCACATGGCTTATTAAACTCACCAGGGTTAAGCAAACCTTATCTTAATCCAACAGGTGACAGCCCATTTTTGCTGGAGTCACAGGAGCCACACAGGCTCAGGTCAGCCTCCCAAGCCCACCGCCTGTGGGAATCAGGTTTCTTTGAAAGAAGGCTTGTTCGCCTCACCTGAAGCCAGAGGAGACCTTCCCTACCTTGGCAGTTTGGGCTGCCCCTTCCAGAGAAGCAAGGACATGGTCCGTGTGATCCTGGGACTTCCGACACTCGGCGCAGAGGAGAGCCTGGTCATTCTGGCAGAAGACAATCAACAGCTGCTTGTGGGCCTCGCAAACTCCCCTGTTGGGTTTCTTCAACACTCCCTTCTCTTGCAGCTTTCTGATTAGCCAGGCAACGTTGCCCAGTTGCCTGTTGGCCGTCAGGGTCACGTTATCGAAACTCTGCTGGCACTGAGGGCATACCACGTTGCTCTGAGCCCCTCCCCAGTGCTTCTGGATGCAAGTGTGGCAGTAGTTATGGCCACAGGTTAAAGTCACTGGGTCGTGGAAGACATTCATGCATAAAGTACAGGTAGCTGCATCAGGAAGGTATTCTGAGATCTTTCCCGTATCCATTGTGCCTTCCCCAAAAATGCCCCCAACCCCGTTTCTCAAAAATGGGTCAGGCTGCTTCCTTATAGCTCCCCCACCAAATAAATAAGAGCCTTTGGTGATTTCCTCTCTGCCAATGAGCTCCTAATTATTTGGTTAAGCCCTCCTGGATCTCTCTAGGACTGGTCCTGCTGGGAGAAGAATCGCCCTGCAGCCTTAGGTTTGCGTCCTCTGGGGGGAGTTGAGTTTTCATGAGCCCCTTTTATTGTAGGTTGGAGCTGGACAGGGGTAAACATTCATTTCAGCCTCCTGGCCTTTTCTCCCAACAAAGGTCCTCTCTGGGTTTCTGCAGCTGAGTCTCTCCAGGTTTCTCTCAAAGCCCCTTTTGAGTTCTGCGTTTGGAACAGGCCCCATTTCCGGTCCTTTAACAGCAGCAAAAAAACAGGTGAAGGGCCTTGGCCTGGAGGGAAGTTAGAAGAATAGCTCACCTGCTTCAGGTATGGGACCCCCTGCTCCTAAAGGTACAGAGATTTGCAAGGAGGGGAGCTGGAGACCAGGGTCTTCCCACCTGCTGCCACCCCTCATAATTAGCCCTACAGAATTTCTCAGCTATTATGGCCATCAGATTTTGGTTTCAATTCACCTGGAGTGAAGCCAAGAAAAACCTCTTGGGGGTCCCAGAGTTGACCCAGTGAAGTTTAAGCAGTTTCTAGCAGGGGTGAAATCCAGCAGGTTCTGACAGGTTCTGCAGAACTGGTAGCAGAAAGTTTGAGCAGTTCGGAGAACCAGTAGCGGAAATTTTGAGTAGTTCAGAGAACCGGCAAATAGTACCTCTGGCTGGCCCCAGAGTGGGGTGGGAATGGAGATTTTGCAATATGCTTCCCCCTGGAGTGGGATGGGAATGGAGATTTTGCAATATCCTTCCCCAGCTATGCCCACCAAGCCACACCCACAGAACCGGTAGTAAAAAAATGTGGATTTCACCACTGGTTTCTAGAGTGTATCATACTGGAAAACATCTTATCTGCTTACAAATGTTGGCTTTTTCAGTCTTCAGTTGTTCTGGATGCATCATTTGAGGTGCCCAAAACATCCAGCTTCCACAACTTTCCTGCAAAAATCTAGAAACCCTCTTGGACCCTCATCCCTACTTTCTTGGCCCATAGAGCAAAAGTGTGCTTGGTGTCTAAGAATTTTACTTTCAGTACTTTCAATGTTCTGTCAATGTAGCTTTACAATAAAGTTGAATTACTCACCTGGTTGTGTTTCCTGCAGGTCTTCAGGGCAAGATCCTTCTAGTGAATGCTCATCTTTACGGGCATTCCAGGTTCACACATTACACTAAACCAAGTTCTCTAACAGGGAACTTGAGGATGATGGTCACAAATGGACTTTAAACCTTCTCAGCTTTGGCCAGAGGACAGGACACTCTCCTTTGTCGTCTAAAGCCCCGGTGTAGTTTGAACCCTCCTATGAAGCCTATATTAATTGAAATGTACTTATTGATATCTATATATGATAAATGTTTTCCCCATGTTAAACACACGGAGTGGCTGTCTTGTATCAGGACTGTTTCTGAAACACTTCTGGTGGTGCAATACTGGCACAATTTCAGCCTGGCAACTTTTAAGATGTGTGGATTTGCGAGCCCCAGAATTCCCCAGCCAGAAATTAAAAACGCACCCTTAAAAAGATGCAGAAAGAAATTCCACCCGTCCAAAGTTGCCAGGTTTGAGACCCGTTGGTCTGAGCCTTGTGGCTTGGGATGCCCCCTGACCCAGGAAGGGGGCAAGGAAGGACCGATTCAGCTTTAAAACTTTTTGGGGGGCTGTCGACTCCTCCTTTTTTCCTGGCCTTCCTGGAGTAACAGGGGGGCTGCCAGGAGGAGGAGGGAGGAGGGTTTTCCTTCCAGGTCAGAAATAGATTGGTGGGTCTATTTCAGAGGAAGCACCAGGAGGACTCCGGGCACTTCTTAAAGTGATCTGGGGCAGGAGGACCCAAGATCAGCCCATCAATGCAACTTTTTTTTAATTTTCAAAAAACCTTTATTAAAATTTAAAATATTAAAATACTAATATACACACAAAAATACATCCATGATAGTTGTACAATTCATCATTCCAACAGTACACAAATCTTAGCTCTATTCATATATCCTCAGATATTCCTTCTTGATCAAATATATATAAACACAATTTATGTCTTCTTTTGATCTATATATTTCCTATTTTTATTTTCTAACCATCAATGCAATTTTTAATTATTCTCAATTGCTGTTGACATTTAGTGGCAGTCCTAAATTGGCATCTTCTACATTTCACCGGACATCTATGGAGATTCTGTCGTCCAGGTGACGGTTTTCCCAAAGTGCTTCCCCCCCCCCTAAAAAGGCAACTGGGCTTTTTAATTTTTTCTTTGAAGACGTTTCACTTCTCATCCAAGAAGCTTCTTCAGCTCTGACTAGATGATGGGAAGGGAATAACCGCAGGGCACAACATAGGAGAACAATTAAACAGTGGAAGGAGTTGCCTTCCAAAGTTGTGGGTTGTGCTGCTCCAATACTGGAGTCCCAAAGGTGCTTTTTTTCTCCCTGCAAGAGTCAAACTGGGCTTTCAAGTTTTTTCTTTGAAGAGGTTTCGCTTTTCATCCAAGATGCTTCTTCACTTAGAACTGAAGAAGCTTCTTGGATGAGAAGCGAAACCTCTTCAAAGGAAAACCAGAAAGTCCGGCTGCCTCTTGGGTGGTGGTGGGGGAGAAGCACCTTTGGGACATTTCAACGGACTTTTAATTACCCTTTTTTAATTAAAAAAAATTAAATTACTTTTAATCCCACCCCCCACCCCGAATTTTGACAGCCGGAGGCGGCAGCGGCGGTCGCTTCCACAATTCCTCTTTCCAAGCCAACTGCTTTCCGTGCATCGGAGCAAAAGGGCGAAGGGGAAGCCTAGATGGGCGGCATATAAATTCAATAAACGCACGAATCAAATAAGCCAAGAAATAAACTCCCAAACTCCGCCCCGCGCAATCCGGGCCCCGCCCCTTCGCCGGCCGGCCCCGCCTCCTGGACGCGCGCCTGCGCACGGGCCGCGCCCCGCCGCCGCCGCCGCCGCGCCTGCGCAGAGGCGGCCGCCGCGAGCATTGTGGCGGGGCGGCGGCGGCGATGGCGGCCGGTCAAGGCGGAGGTCCTGCGGCCAGCAGCGAGGGAGGCGGGGGCGGCGGCGGGGCGGCGGCGGGGGGGGCGGGGGGGCGGGAGGGGGGCTCGGGGGCGGTTCCTCGTCGTCGCTGCCGCCGCCGGGCCCCCCTCCCCCCGCGCCCCCCCCGCCCCCCCCGCCGCCCCCCTGCGCCGAGCCCCCCGCGGCCTTCCCGGGGCTCCCGCTGCTGATGCCGCCGCACCTGACGCCGCCCTTCTTCCCGGCCTCCTCGGCCTCCGCCGCCGCCGCCGCCGCCGCCCCCTCGCCCGGCCGCAGCCTGGAGAAGACGCTGGAGGAGGCGGGCAGCTCCGGCCTCCTCTGCCTCAGCGGCAGGAAGCTCCGCGAGTTCTCGGCCGCCGCCGCCTACGACCTCAGCGACACCACGCAGGCCGGTGAGCGAGCGAGCGAGCGAGGGCCCATGGTGGCGGCGCCCCTCCCCTCCCCCAGGACCCATCGTCCCCGCCCCCCCTTCTGCTCCCAGGTCCATCATCCCCAGCCTCAGCCCCCCCTTCTCCAGGAATCATCCACAGCCTCAGCCCTGCAGGTCCCATCAGCCCAGCCCCCCCTTCTGCTCCCAGGGCTATCATCCACAGCCTCAGCCCTGCAGGTCCCATCACCCCTTCTGCTCCCAGGAACCATCATCCACAGCCTCAGCCCCCCTTCTGCTCCCAAGAACCATCATCCACAGCCTCAGCCCCTGCAGATCCCATCAGCCCCAGCCCCCCCCTTCTGCTCCAGGCCCATCATCCACAGCCTCAGCCCCCTTCTCCAGGAACCATCATCCACAGCCTCAGCCCTGCAGGTCCCATCCCAGCCCCCCCTTTCTGCTCCCAGGCCCATCATCCACAGCCTCAGCCCCTCCTTCTCCCAGGAACCATCATCCACAGCCTCAGCCCCTGCAGGTCCCAACCCCACCCATGCTCCCAGGCTATCATCCACAGCCTCAGCCCCCTTTCTGCTCCCAGGAACCATCATCCACAGCCTCAGCCCCTGCAAGTCCCATAAACCCCAGCCTCCCCCCTTTCTGCTCCCAGGACCCATCATCCCCACCTACAAGCAGACCCTTCCTCCCTGTCTGAGTCCTTGGCGTTTTGGCACCTCGTCCCATCATCCTCACCCAGGGACTTCCCTGCCAATCCCCAGTCTCACCCCATGTCCTGCTTTGCAGATCCCCTCAACCCAAGTGCCCACTTTCTTCCTTCCCCCCCCCGAAAGGGCTGCCCCCAGGCCCATCACCCCTTGTACTGCCCAATTCTCTACCAACACCCATCATGCCCTGCCTGACTGTATAGGCTATGTTCCTGTGCTCTTTAACTGGGGGGGGGGCTGGAGGGGCTCTTGTTTTGCAGCATTTCTTGCCTTCAGGGGTGCTAATGCCCCCCCATGCTATTAGCATCTATTAGGCTCGTGCGGTGTTGGCGTTGGATCAAGGGAAGGGGTCGGGTGGGCGGGGAGGCGGCGCAAGGGGGCGGGGGCAAGGCCCTGACGTCAGGTGATAAAGTTACCCAACGTAAGCTAACCGAAGTTGCATTGGGATGCCCACAGGGCTGGCATCGTTTGGGGGGGGGATGCCGGGAGTGTGTGGCGGGCAGGGTGGCCATGGGGGTGGCCTCCAAAGTGTGCAAGAACGAGGGGTGGGACAGTGGAAAAATGGGGGAAGGGGGTATTTCACTCTGCTGGCCGGTGCAAGTGAGGAGAGGGCTGGGGTGGGATCACATGCCCAGGTTATGGGCAGGAGATGGAGAATTATGCCCAAGGAGGTGGGCTGTTGGCAGTGAGCAGGTAGAAGCGCTTGGGGTAGTTTGGGATACAGGGGAGGGGAGGCAGGTCATGGGAGAAGAGCTTAAGCAAAAGGAATTGTGGGAGGGGGAGCAGCAGGCTGCATCATTAGAGTGGATAATAGCAAATTAGTCCGAAGATGGGAGGAGGCTCCCTTCAGTGGCCATTTCCTCTAATATAGGCGGATATTATGGTGGGGTGTGAATTGGCTGCGGAGGAGGGTTACGATGGAGCCATTGAGAAAGTGAGTCAAAACCACTTTGTTATGCTATGCGAGCCTCAGTAGTTGGATCCAAGTTGGACCTGGTATCCTTCAGCGATGTAAATTACATTAAATCTATCCTCTTGCTTTTCTGTCCCTCAAAAGTGACTTTGCAAAGGAGAGCTCAGCGCTCTGGTGGTTTCCGTTGAGTCCTAATTTGTTCTGCAGTCACATCAGAAAAATTTTGCTCTGAAAACCTGAGCGCGTCAGATGAAAAATTAGATTTCTCAACCTTGGGCAACTTGAAACTGTTTGGACTTCAACTCCCAGAATTCATGGTTGGCTGGGGAATTCTGGGAGTTGAAGTTCAGATGGCTTGGAATGGCTAAGGTTGAGAGACACCGAATTAGATTATGGTTTGCATCGTTACTGGTAAGTTTGCTTACTGCTTAAGAGCGTAGACATCTTCAGGTTCAGCAATTGCAGCCCGTCTAATCTTGACTAAGTTAACTCGGATTCCCTTAACTATAGCTGAAGCCCCATGAATCAGATTTGGCCTAAAACCTTGTATTATCAGTCCTTGCTTAGCTTGAAGTAAAAATCCATTTTCAAAATTCTTCTATCTGTAAATCTTAAGACATCATTAATAATAAGCAGAGAAGCTTGGATGACACACAGATGAATTTCCGTTCCGTAGCTTTGAAGTGTACTTCCTTGGTTTTCCAGTCTGTTTCATTTCTAATCTTAACCTCCTTCCAGAAAAAATCCTGCCAGCAACAGTGACATCTTTGGCTCGGTCGTCTGAATTAATAATTACTTTATTATCGAAGCGTCTCTTTTAAAAGTTTGCTCCGTTTTGTTATTTTGCTCCCCTTGAGACTTCCGTCAGATGGAAAGGTGGGATATACACCTCGTAGGAATAAATGCTGAGAGGGGCTTGCCTGGAGCATCTGTCCGTGAAGAGCTCATCCAAGACATTGCTGGAATGTATTTTTTTTTTTCTTTTCTGAAGACAAAATCTTAAAGACCATTATCCAGCAGAATGCCCCCCCCCCCCAAAAAAAAAGGCAAGCTAAGAGCTGCCAGTTATTATGCCGGCAGATTTATTGTTGCAGGGAGAGGTCCCTTTCCCATGTCTTCATTTGTTCTTCAGGAATAGACTGTGGCTTCCTGGAGGCTCCTTCTTTTGAAAGGACTTGGAAGGCTGATAATTACAGAGAGGCGAAATTGAACGTTGCAGGCAGTTTTTCCCCTCAAGGCCCAGAGAGCAACGCAGAGGCCCTGCCGGCGGTTAGAGGCTGGCTGGGATGAAGTGGGGAGCTAGAGTGGAGGGATGGAGCTGCCTCCTTTGGATATAAAGCTCGGGAGGTGGGAGGCATGCCAGGCCGGAGCCCTGCGCCAGGTGAGCAGCTCTCAAGCGGATCTCTGGGCCTTCTAGGGCAGTGGCACGGATGGCAGTCCTGACGTGTGCTTCCTTCCTGCAGACGTCAAAGTGCTCGCCTTGAACGTGCAAATCGGTCGTCGTACATGTTGCCTTTGCTGTCCAAACTGTCAGAATGTCAGTTTTGTAAAGAGTCTCCAAAGATTGGTAGAAGGACGTCCAAAGAAAACGTGAAAGAAATGCCTGACGCCGTGATTTAACACCAGCTGAGCCCTTGGAAACGTGATCTTTAGTGGCATGCAAGCTTGCTGAGAACAAGCAGCATCTCAGCTCAAACGTGCATTGTCAATGACATGGGGACAGAGGGTAGAAGGCCCTGGTTTAAAGCTCCTAAGGAGGCTGACTTTCTGCAGAAAGGGGCCTCTCCAAGGGAGGCCCCCAAAGATGGCATAGTGGATGTGGGCGAAAAGGTTGCAAAGAGCCCTGGGGATCTAAGAGGCTTCGATTTCCAGGAGGAGATCCGTTCAGGGCAACAGGTGCAATTTCCTAAATAATTCTGTTAGGGAGACTGTGGGCCATAATCTCGGCTTGCCCCCCCGTCTGCATAATCCTTGAAGCTTTTTCACAGATCACAGTAAATCGAGATTGTAGCTCAGGATGATGATAGAGCAAAGACGAATTGGGGCACCTGCCCCCCCCCCCCCCCATTCTTTCTACAGTCAAGAAATAGGCAAGCTTCTCTATGGCTTTTCTTAAGTGTTTGTCCTGGGATTCTGGGCCTCCACCTGCCAAAAAATGAATCCTGGCTTCAGCTGCCCATGGTGAGAACATATAGACACACAAGATTCTTTGTTTCTTCTCGGAGTTAAGGTAGCTTCTCCTCTGGATATGGATTAAAAATGCCTCTCCTCCCTTTGTGTTAACTGACAATGGGAGACTTCAGTTGAACCCCAGGGAGAATCCAGCCTGAATTTAGCTTCCTCAAAAGAGGGAGAAGCAACCTTGAACTTAATGCACTGAGCTGTAATTTAGCTGCTTAAGCTCCTTTCACACTCCAGAAGCTTCCCAGCATTATCTGCACCCGGAACAACAATTATTCTCTGTAATTAAAATGTCAGATTTGGGAAATGACATCTGCCTCTTCACTCAGGGTGGACAAATTTTAGAGTTAGGGGGTGATATTTTTTGCTTTCAAAGGAAACAATGTGCTGGACTGTTTACCAAAAATGTTACTTTGATGTAGAATTACAAAAACTGCCCAGAAATGGGCCATTCATTGCTGCTTGCCCTCAATGTTCCCAGCCTCCCTCCGCTTTAAGGCCTGATCTGGAAGAAAACGCGCTGGGGATCTGGGAAAGTGCAGAATTACGCTTCCTTCCTGTTCCTTCCTGCAGCAAAGAGGCCTTCTCTGGGATTATAAAGCTTTGCTTGCCAGCATGTCAGGTTGCATTAGGAATGTGATGGCAGAGCTGTTACTAATGGGGGGGGTGGATTTACTCTGGAACAAAGGCGAGGGAGGCTTCTCGGGAAAGGAGCTCCATCCGAAGTGGGTAGCAGGCACCTCGCATCCCTTCTCTTTGCGTGCTGTAAAGATGCAAAGGTCGCATCAGGGTCTCAAGAACTTTGCTGATGGATGTGGATGGAAAGGTCTCCGTATCTGTCCTGGGGAGGTGAGGCAGGGCCCAAGGATCTGCGTTTGAAAGAGAAATGGAGGGCAGTTCTAGAAGGCTTTGGTGACTTGGGGAGGGCTGGCATCCTGGCCAGTTGACTGCTAGTGAACCTGTGATCCTCGTAACTTTGGCGCTTTTAATTTAACTGCAGCCGAAGGAAGGTAGCTCTGCAGCTGGTGGTAGAGCCAGCTTTTTTGTGTTGTTCAACTACAAACGTCTCGTCCCATGGAAGGGTGAGTGGCACAACTGATACAAACTCATCCTGCCTAACCCTAATCTATTGTGGCGGTTTCCCACTAAGTAGCTTTCATTCAGCTGCTTAACAAAGATAATATCGGTGTCACTAATGCTCGGAACTTGGATTGCAGAAATTGCTGTGTGTGGAATGTCAGTCTTGCAATGCAATGCAAAGCGAGCCGAGCCTTTCCTGATTAACATCAGTAATGTGCATATTATTTTTCAGAAATAAGCCTGGCCATATTAAATAGAACCTCCCAACAAATTTGCATGTGATTTGCAATTTTACGCACCCTTATTAGGAAGTAACCCAACTGAATCCATGTGACTTTCTCCTGAATTTACATGCACGTGGCATTGTGCTAAAAATGTGCAATATCTTTTTCCCCCCTTCCCATTAAACGTTTGCACCTAATTATATTATTGCTGGTGGTTTATTTTTATTTCTTTCTGCTCATCGCTGCAGAAGTACTAAGATTAAACGGATTTCTGATTCTGATCCTGGTGGCTCATAGGTTTGGCACCATGCAAAGGAATAAATCTGAACTTAATTGGTTGAATGAAAACCCGATCAAGCTAATTAGCCTTGAGCCTGACAAAGATGTATTCAGATACAGGCGGAAGCTTGAAGGCTGTCTCTCCAGTGAGAAATGCAGAGTAATACCTGCTGAAGGTTTTTGTCGACCTGGTGGATCTCGAGTGAAAGATCCAGTTGATCTTTCGATAGCAGCAACAAGATACTCAGGGCATTTATTCTTGGAATCCGCTCATGTCTATATTTTTGTTCCCCTGATCCCCTGGCTATTATCTCGGTAACAATAATATGTAGAATTTGAAGAATTAAGGAATTTTTGTTCCCAGGTACTTCTACTTTTAACCTGCAATACTTTTCAGAATTGTGGGAAGAAGTCCAGCAGGAGAAACAGCCCTTCAATCCCTGAAGAATTCCCCGAGATCTCCTTCAGGCAAAGTGGGAAAATGCAGATTATTTTGTGTGTTCAGGGCTTCTGCCTCTTATTCTGCATACACTAGAAAGCTCTCAGAGGAGAATGTTTGACTAGGTGGGTGAACATCCCTTAGCAACCCTTTTTCCTCAGCTAGCTTCTCCTCTTCTCCAAATTTTTTTCCTAGCCACTCAATGGTACTCAACAACAGTTGCCTGCAGTTGAATAAATACAGCGCCCCCCCCCCCCCAGTGATGGGAGGAACCCAACAGTAGAAGAAAGCCACTTGCCCACACAGCAAACTGTGTTTGTGTCCCACAGGAGCCTGCACTGGGTCCCTGAAGCTGCCCTGTTCTCCCCATGGAACTGCCAGCATTCAAAGACCCCAACTGGAAATTAGCTTGGTCCTTCAACAGTGTGGGCATTCAGTCTGCCTCTGGACGTGCCATTGGAGGGCCTCCTTATTCTATGTAGCATTTTAAAATACTTAGGTTTGATGTTAATATAGTCAGAACATTGTTTTTGTCCATTCTTAGAAATTATTCTAACTAGAGCAGCTAGAGTCAAGCATGGCCAATAAACCTTTCCCACCGAAATATCTCGAGGGGTGTGACAGTATTTCAATAGGAGGGTTACCAGAGGGTATTTTTATTGCATAAAGTTTTGTGTCTTCTGTGTGTAAATGAGATTTCTAAGCCCATACAAGGCCCCTTGGTAGATGAAATGGGGGAAGCAGCTTCCCCTTTTTTCCCCTGACGGAATGAAATGGGCCTGCAGACAAGGAAGGGGAAGCGGTGACTTTGGGAAGGATTAATCCGCTTTCTGTGCCGGCTGCGCATGTGACAACAAAGGACACAAAGGGATGAAGGCGAAGATTGCCCGCTCTGCGTCTTGTCTCTGCAATGCTTGGCATTCACTGGGGCTCTACTTCGTGCTCTTGCCTCTTACCTTTGTTTGCGGGAGGCCTAGGAAACCAGCAGGCTCGAAAAGAAATGCATGTCTTCCAAAGGCAATATGGCTATTTCACAGGCTGGCTTTATGGGGCTCCAGATTGCCGGGAGAGGCTGTTGTAGAACAGTAGCGGCAGCAAGCAGATTTTCATAATATTGTCTGTTCGGCGCCATCCGTGCGCACGCAGTGTTCAAAAGGTTTTATTTCAAAAAAGATAATGGGACCCTGACTCAACTGGAGGAGGCTGATGAGGCTAGGCAGAAACAGAGAGGCCAAACGAAGTGGTTGGGCTCCGTTCAGTTGGAAGGACGGAGATGGCCTTTGCTGGTCAGGAGGGACCAGTTTCTTCTCCTGGAGGGGAATGTTGGGGAAAAGCAGTGGACCGTAGTGGATTCTTGTCTTCTCCTAGAAGGGCAGATCCTGGTGAGCGTCTAGTTCAGTGATGGCTAACCTTTTTGCCATTGCATGCCAAAAGTGGGAGCGCGTGAAGGGGTTGTGCACACGCGTGCCCACACCCATAATTCGATGCTCCCTGAACATGTGTGCGCAACACACACACACACACACCCCGCACGCTCCCATGCTTTTGGCACGCAACGGCAAAGAAGTTACCAGTGGGCCCGGTAGGCCCGTTTTTCGCCCTCCCCAGGCTCCAGAGTCTTTCTTGGAGCCTGGGGAGGGCGAAAACAGCCTCCCCCACCTTCCCGGAGGCCGGAAATGGCCATTTCCCAACTTCTGGTGGGCTCAGAAGGCCCAAAAATCAGCTGGCTGGTGCACACATGTGCGCTGGAGCTGAGCTAGGGCAACGCTCGCGTGCCCACAGATATGGCTCCGTGTGCCATAGGTTCGTCATCACAGGTCTAGTTCTACCTGCGTGTTGGGTTTGGCATCCTAGCAGAAAGTAACCCATTCCAACTTATAGCCTCTAATTCCAACTGTAGAATTGTGCAACGGCCGATGACCAGTTGGGTATCGTTGTCTTCTCCTTCAGGATGAGCACCTTCTCCTCCTTTCCCTTTTCAGATCTTTCCAGGAACAGATTTACTGAAATCCCTCCAGATGTGTGGCAGTTTGCTCCGCTCGAGACCTTGAACCTGTATCACAACTGCATCAAATCTATCCCCGAAGCCATTAAAAACCTACAGATGTTAACATATCTCAATATCAGGTAGGCGCATTTTTCTTCCCCCAGTTTCACGTCAGAGCTCCTTCTTGCTCAAGAGGACTGCAAAAATATTTGCTGCTCCCTGCAGCCCAGAGATTGCCAGAAGATAAATGTGTATAAGGGAGTCTTCCTTGGTTCCTGATATTTCTCCTTCACAATATGAAGTTTGAGATGCGGATGTAATCTCTTTACATTTCAGTTTCGGTTTCTAGGAGTTTGGTGAATACTGAAAAGAACCCTGCTACTCTTGACTTCTGGTGGGAAAGCAGCTGAGCTGGCCACAGAACTGGAGAACAGCTTTTTTTCCTCAGTGGAAGGAATGTTGCTCCGTTTTGTGGCGGCTGCTCTCAGATCCACTGTGTTTTATTTTTGGTTTAGAGCATGCACAGTGCCTCCTTTCCCGTTAGGCTAGCAAGGAGGCCCAGAAAGTGACGTGCATGGGTTCAACTCAGGTTCTGTACATCTTAACAGCAGGGCAAAGACGATAAATTAGCACCAGAGGAGGAAAAATTAAAGCAGGAAAAAAGGATCAGAGAAAAGTGAAGCTGCCCCTCAGCTCCACAAAAATTGTTCAGGGAGGAGAGAGGAAAAAAAAACGTGGGAAGAGTTTACAAAGACCTGTTAAACCCCTGATTCAAGCTTTTGTAGACGCTGAGTTATTCTGCTTCCGCGAACGCACACGAGAAGAAACGCATTGCTGGGAAGGCCGTTTGGGTATTGTGATCCACCAGCAGGGCTTGTAACTGAAGAGCTGAACGCTGAGTCCTTTTTAAGTGGAGCCCAGAGTGGTTTTAATGGCTTCTGCATCTCTTGAACATGAACAATTCATAGCTGCCGGATATTAACCCCCAATGTCTTCCTTTCTCCCTAGCCGAAATCTCCTATCTACATTGCCAAAATACCTATTCGATCTGCCACTGAAGGTTTTGGTTGTCAGCAATAATAAGTTGGTGTCTATTCCTGAAGAAATTGGGAAGTCGAAAGACTTAATGGAATTGGTACGTGCCATTGCTCTGTCCTTTGTTACCCTGAACGCGTTTGGCTTCACTCAACAAATCGAACTACACCAGTGTTTCTCAACCTTGGAAGCTTGAAGATTGGTGGACTTCAACTCCCAGCTGCCGGCTGGGGGATTCTGGGAGTTGAAGTCCACCCATCTTCAAGCTACCAAGGTTGAGAAACACTGAACTACACCTTGTGTAGAAAAATTAGTTGCCTAGAACAGTAACGGGCAAGCTTCAAGCTTTCCAGTCCGGTGGCCCCAGGTTCATAAATCTCACCTGATTGATTTCTTCACTTTGGTTGAGTCAGTGTTTGTTGGTTTGTCTCGGTGTGTGTGTGAGAGAGAGGGGGTGGGTGGGTACTATTGAGTTAGTTTAACCTTGTGAATGCCTAGACGTGTCCGTACAGGTTTTGGGCAAGATCTTTGGAAGTGGTTTGCCCTTGTTTTCTTTTTAGGGCTGAGAAGGCATGTCTGGCCCAAAGTCATCCAACTGGCTTCATGCTTAAGGCGTGATCAAAGCCCGCGTCGCTTGATTTCTGGCTGCATCAGAGAGATGCCTTTTGAAACCATTTTCCTTTGGAACAAAAATCTGTTTTAAGAGAATCCTCCTTCTTCCCTTTCTAGCAAAACAGGCATTTCTCTCTTCAAGAAGCCCCTTCCCTTGGTAAAGCCATTCAGGTCAGAAAATGCTTGTTGTAACTGTTGGGCATTCTGGTTTTCTGTTTCTTACCTTAGGACATTAGCTGCAATGAGATCCAGGTCCTTCCCCAACAGATAGGAAAATTGCACTCGTTAAAAGAACTCAATTTAAGAAGAAATAATCTCCACATGTTACCTGACGGTAAGCAGTTTTCCATCTTCTTCCAGACTCCCTTTGAATCCATTTAGACCAGGGGTCTCCAACCTTTGCAACTTTACTACAGGTGGACTTCGGCTCCCAGAATTCCTCAGCCAGCATGGCTGACTTGAGGAATTCTGGGGGTTGAAATCCACAAGTCATAAAGTGGCCAAGATTGGAGACCTTTGATTTAGACACGCGTCTCGTAATGTCTTCCTCCTTTACAATTAACAGAATTAGGAGACCTTCCTTTGGTCAAGCTGGACTTCTCCTGTAATAAGGTCACAGAGATCCCCGTCGGCTTTCGGAAATTGCGACACTTGCAAGTCATCGTTCTGGATAATAACCCAATGCAGATCCCGCCGGCCCAGGTGTGTTGATCCCCCTTTTCTTCAATCCCGGGGACCTTCAGCTTCATCCTTCAGTCAGCTCCTGTCATCAGATGGAAGCACCTTTTCTGCCTGGTTCCCTCGGGGGTAGCCGGAGAGGGGCCGGCCTCTGTTTCTGGGGCCCTGGAAGGTCTTTCCTGGAACCGCCAAATCTTGTGTGCCAAATCAGCCTTGTTTGTTTCCTAATTCACCATCTCCCTGGATGTAGTTGGTGAACAGGTTGGGCTGGTAGTTTCGGGAGATTTACGTGAAGCTGTTATCAGTCAACACACGCACTCACGCAAACACACACAGAGTCAGACACATCAAAGGCAGCGAAGGAGTTCCAGAGGATTTCTTGTCAACCTACCTGACTCAAATTTTGTTTTGGTTTCTTTCCTGTCTTGCTTCTTAACAGATCTGCTTAAAGGGCAAAGTGCACATTTTTAAGTTCCTCAGTGTCCAAGCATGCCTGAGAATGGATAAGAAGCCGGATTCCCTGGATCTGCCTTCCCTGGGGAGAAGGATCCCTTCTCAGCCGCTCACCGACAGGTAAAGCTGCCTTTCCTTCTCAAAACTGAGCATTTGTAATCGCCGAGAGTCTCTTCTGAATCCCACGTCACGCCAGGAACGTCATCCAATGTCCTATTCCTTGCCCTGCCTCTGGCTGTCTTCCCAGTTTCCCCTCCCCTGCCTGCCTTCTCTCTTCCCCTTGCGTGTCAGGCTAAGACAGAGCTGAGTGAGCTTGCTGGGCCTGGGATCAGGGACGGCCTCTCTGTTCTCTTCTGTGTGGATGAGAGCAGAGCCCCTACACCGCCAGCTGCAGCCTGTCATGGCGTCTAAACTGGTTCACAGGCTGCTCAGTCCTGGCCTGGGTCATCTCTCACTGCTGGCCCTGCACTGGAGGGCTTCCACATCACGGTCGGTTGAAATGAACCAGGCCAGGCCAGGCTGGGGCCAGGAGCTCCACTCGTCTTCAGAACTGCAGCAAAACGCGAGAAAGGGAGTCCTTTGGGGTCTTGAACTGACTTACTCTTGTCTGCTAAATCAGCATAGGTTTGGATCTGGATTGGGTTCCTTGGAGATCGTGAATGGAATACAATAATGTTAGATCTCGATCAAGACGGAATGGGTCCATAATAAGAGAATGGGGGCCCAAACCATAGACGGAGGGTCAGGTCTTTGCTCACCTCTGAGCAGAGCCAGGAATTAACTATACCTAAAGTTAAAGGGATGCGGTGACTCAGTGGCTAAGACAGGGAGCTTGTCGATCGAAAGGTCGACAGTTCAGTGGTTTGAATCCCTACTGCCGCATAATGGGGTGAGCTCCTGTGACTTGTCCCAGCTTCTGCCAATCTAGCAGTTTGAAAGCACGTAAAAAAAAAAATGCAAGTAGAAAAATAGGGACCCCCTTTGGTGAGAAGGTAACAGCGTTCCGTGCACCTTTGGTGTTGAGTCATGCCGGCCACATGACCACGGAGATGTCTTCGGACAGCTCTGGCTCTTCGGCTTTGAAACGGAGATGAGCACCGCCCCCTAGAGTCAGGAACGACTAGCACATATGTGCGAGGGGAACCTTTACCTTCACCCAAAGTTAAATATCACTTAAGTGTTGCTTTCCTCATACCCTGAAGGCTTGAATGGATCTTGGGATTCTTCTTTGTAACCAGAACAGTTCAACTGAAGGAGAAGTCTGCCATCTACTGCCAAACCAATTTCATTATATTTTTAGTCCAAAGGCGAAGAAAATCAGAGCACATCTTCTCTTCAGCAAAGAACTTTTGGGATAGGTTTATTTCCCCCTCTCAATTTCCTGTCTCTGGGAAATTGTTTGCTGTTCTTTGAGGAACTAAAAATTTCAATCAGTCTCTTATTACCATCGCAGACTAGAACAAGGGAACTGAAAATCGTTTCCTAGTGTCCGTAACCAATGTTCTTCTCCGTTACAGTATAGAAGACTTTTACCCCAATAAAAACCACGGCCCAGACTCTGGAATTGGTAGTGATAATGGGGATAAAAGATTATCCACAACGGAAGTAAGTCAGCTCTTTTTTACGTTGTTGAAAAAGAAAGAAACGGATGTTTTTCTTTCCTTTTACTATCAGTTTTGGATGGAGATCTCTCTCTCTCTCTCTCTTTCCTTGAACTACATGATAATTAATTGATAAATCTTTGCAGTCCATTTAATTAACATGATGTGTTAGAACAGTGATGGCTAACCTTTTTGCTGTTGTGTATCAAAAGCAGGGGGAGCGTGGGGGGGTCGCGTGCGTGCTTGCCAAAATCCATAAATCAATGCACCTCGCGAATGTGTGCGCGACCCCCCCCCTGCGACCCCCACTTTTGGCACACGATGGCCCAGTAGGCCCGTTTTTCACCCTCCCTGGGCTCCAGAGCCTTTCTAGGAGCCTGGGGAGGGCGAAAACAGCCTTCCCCACCCCCCGGGGGCCCTCCAGAGGCCGGAAACGGCCCATTTCCCAATTTCCGGAAGGCCCGAAAATCATCTGGCCAGCGTGTGCATGCCCGGTGGAACTAAGCTAGGGCAATGCTCACGTGCCCACAGATATGGCTCCACGTGCCATAGGTTTGCCATCACGGTGTTAGAAGTTACTCTCAAGCACAGTGAAATTGTATACCTCAGGCTTCCCTAATCTGGCGGCCTCAAGTGTATTGTGATTTCACAGCTCTCAGTTGTGTGGCCTGCTTGTGCAGGAATTTCATCGGCATGACTGGTGAGCAAGTTGCTGGGAAATGCCATCTTAACTTAAGTTTCAGATTTGATAGCAAAAAAGAAAAAAGAATCAAATTTCCCTGAATTTTTTTTTTATTCGTTAGGCACATGAAACTAGACCCAACTGAAGCATTTCTGGATGTGTTGTGAGTTGTGACAACTATTTACTAACTGAATGAATGTCTGACTTGGATGCTCCATGAAAGGAACAAGGGCACTTCCTCCTCAGAAGGGCTCTGGTTGGGATCCCAGAGTCAGACGAAGGTGGTTTTGCAATGAAAGACAAATGCAAAGGATTTGTGATGTACCTATTCCACTGTATTTCCTCAGCCATCCGATGATGACACGGTCAGCCTCCATTCTCAGGTGTCGGAATCGACAAGGGAACAGACGCTCCGAAATGACAATCAGTTGCTAGGGAACAAACCCGAGTTGCATAAAGGTAAAATCCCACGTCCAGGTGGTTTTGGGGAGGAAGACCACACGTCTTAAAAGTTACAAAGATTGAGAAAAACCTGCTTGAGAGCCTTAGAAGCTTTTATACAGTCAATCTAACCATATATCCTTTTTCCTTTTTAACCAAATCCCTAGACCCCGATGTGTGTGATTACCTGGATCCCAGCTCAGAGGATGTGGCTGCATGTGACCAAGGAGATCCCCAGACCGGATCATCCGTCTCTTACATTAAGGTAGCCACGCCTTAAAAGTAATAAGGCAAAGTGAATGAGTCATGGAGACTTTCTAGATCTAAAGTTTAAAAAAGTGATATCTGCGCGCTCACACATTATGCTTTTCCCCCCTCTTTCCTCTACCTCCAACGTGCTGTGTAAGGAACGAGGCAAGTCAGCTGAGAAGCCACAGAAGAGTGACCCACGTGAAGATTGGCGAGAGGAGAAGAGGTGGGTCCCTGACAGTCACCCCGGCAGGGTTTGCGGGTGAACTACTGGGGACCATTCACGATCTGTTTGGCAGATGTATCTAATCGGGCTTCCCCAACCTTGGCAGATGTGTGGACTTCAACTCCCAGAATTCTATGTTGGCTGGGGAATGCTGGGAGTTGAAGTCCACACATCTTAAAAGTTGCCAAGGTTGGGAAAGCCTAACATTATCCAACGAGATATATTGATTGATTGATTGATTGATTGATTGATTGATTGATTAGCATTCAGAAAGAAAAGGCCCTGGCAGAAGAAGACGATGACCTGAAGGAGGTGACCGACCTGAGGAAAATTGCAGCCCAGCTTTTGCAACAGGAGCAGAAGAACAGGTAGGACGCTTGTGGGTCCCACCGGAAGCAGGGGACATCGGTGGGGGTCTTCCCTCACCCACTATTTGCATGACATCTTGAAAACTTGTCCCGTCCAAGCTGGGAGACGATGATCTGAAGGAAGAAAAGTTGGTTTAGGGCTAATCTGGCTTCTACCTTTTAAAATAAGCACCTCGGTCCTTTGCTGAAATGGATCCCGAAAGCCTGTGACATTTGCCCTACTCAAAAAGCTCCTGGCCTCTTCGAAGGATTATCTTCCACAGCTTGGCCGTAAAACCTTTTTTTGTCTTCTCTTGTCTTAACTGTGTTACACTCTCCTCTTTCTCTCTTCCGCTGACTTTACTAACGGCTCTCCTGTCACTCTTCACGGCTCCCTTCCTCCATCTTGGGGTACGTGGCACACGAATTCAGACGGAGGCCCTTAAGCTATAGAGCTTCCTTCAGTGAAAAGCTTTTCCAGAGGACCAGGGTGGCAGGACGCGCCTCAAGGTACTTGGGACTCAAGGCCTCGGGATGTCACACTATCGTGTGGGAGCCCAGCCCATAACAACCCTTTGGATAACAGTTTTGGTGTAACGGGAAAGTCTGAGGAGGAAAATGGAAGAAAAGCCCCAAAGTTGGGTGCCCTAAACTCCCCTCAGAAGCCTGGTGGCCATCTTAGAACATAGACTGCTAGGGACCTCAGAGGTCTTCTAGTCCAACCCCCTGCTCAAGGCAGGAGACCTTATGCCAACCCGCTCAAAGGGTTGTCCAGTCTATTTTTGAAAGCCTCCAGTGACGGCGCAACCACAACTCTGGGGAGGCAAACTTGTTTTGTTTATTTCCAAGTATTTGTCTGCCTCTGTCATAAGAACGGGATCCTCCTCTGTGTGCGGTCAAAAGGGCAGTCGCTACAATACAGTCAGGGGCCTCAATTGCACCGTCACGTTGGCCGCCTTAACTTTGGTGACCACACCTGTGGAAATCCCCGTTTCAGGGATTCCCTGGTTAAACAGTACCTTGGAAAAACGCCCACCTCTGAGAAGGATCTGGAGGGATCTGCAGCCCAGAGTGTGAAATGCGTTTCTCTTGAATGGTTACCTGGAAACCAAATTCCGGACCCTTAAGGTGCTGTTCCATGGTAGATGAAAGCCGCTTTTGTGTAAAAGAGTCTTTGGCGTTATTTGAAGAAAAGGAGACACGGGGGTCAGTGATGCACTCCGGGCCATTTCCTGGAGGGGGGGGAGAGAATGACCCTGCTAGTCATCTGGGAAGCCCCCTGCCCAGATGGAAGACACTCAACCCTCCTGCCATTCTTCTGCCCTGACTAGGGTGGGATCCGGTTCAGACAACCTTTGCTGAGGGAGCTCCTTCTCATTTCTCTCCGCCTTTCCTGTCACACTCCTGGTTCCAGACTGTCTTTCCTTGCTATTCCTTCGCTCGTGACTTTGCTCCTTCTCGAGTCCCTTTCCCAGACGGCCCCTGCAACCTCAGCTTGACCAGGGAATGGCAGCCCAGCCGGGGGCTTCACCGGAGACTGGGGAGAAGGGCCGTCCTCAGCTAAGGCTGCAGGAGCTCAGCTCAGCAGAAGGAAACCTCAGATCAGACCAGACCAGAGCTGAGGCTGCTGACGTGAGCCTGTGTGTCATTCGGGGGCATTTTTATTGATTCTTAGGCTTCTGAATCACTCCACCCCAACAAGCACAAGAAACCGGCCAAAACAGACTGTGGACACAGAAAAAAGGTATGGACGGGGCTTTAGGCAGTGGGGGGAAAATAGATTGAAGCCATTTGTGTGAACCTGTTGTGTGAAAAGATTTTGCAGAGGTGGGCCGAAACAAAGGGTGGGGGGTCTGGAGGGCCCCCCGTTACTCTTTGAAAACTGATCCGACTGCAGGGAATCCGGAGCGGTGAGGTTGGTGCAGCCCAGAAATCCTTTCACACAAATGGTCTGAATAAGATTTCACTGTGTTAAAGGAAGCAGATTTTTATGGTTTGGGGCTGACAGGAAAGGGTTCGGTCCTCTCGGTGGGAAGTTGGAATTTCCTTCCGGTTTCTCCCCTCCTTTGAGAGACCCGGCCCTTTGGGCAGAACCTTTGCTTAAACATTCGTAATTTAAGAATTCCTGCCACGTTTCAAACACCTTGCTCTGCTTTGGAGTGTTTGAGAAAACAATTAGCGTTGCTGCCTCACTCCATTTATTCATCCGGAGGAACGCACCTGTGTTCCACCTTTCCAGATCTCTTGATGCCCCAAAGAGAAGTAATCCTGCGAAAGTAACATGGATTAAGGGGTGTTTTTCTGTAGCAGAGCACTCCCTGTGCCCCGCAATAGAAAATTTGGCTGACCAAAGCTCGTAAGGGGAGACGTTGGCCTTTAGAGGGGCCATAGAACAACCCTGATGGGCCTGAGGGAGACCCTGAGATCCTGTCATTATTGAAAAGGAGGAAACGAGAAAAACTACACCTCCCAGGAGTTACATCTGAAGAAACGCAGACCTCTTTAAAAAAATACTTCCTTTACTGCGAGCATTTAAAATTTTATAATTTCCCACATTGTTTGTGCTTTTCTTTAGGGATTTTTTTAAAATGTGTCCTACAATGCACAGATTATTTGGTTATAAATACATATTGGTAGTATTTCATTTCATATTAGAAATTGGCTCCTTTGGTCCCAGGAAAGAGTGAGAAAAGTTGCACATTTTGAGTGAAGATCCGTACGCATTTAACAAAGAAAGAAAGAAAGAAAGAAAGATGGGTGGTTTTTTTTTAAGCTAACAACTTTTATGTTTTGTTATATTTTATTTTTATTTATTTTTTTTGTGCAGCCTTTCTGCAGACGAAGCAAATTCTCCGTCTTCCCCCTGCAGCTGGCAGGTAAGGCAGAGACGTGAAATCCTCCCGCGTCTCTCCCTGGGCAGCCGTAATTGTTCGGCTTGTTCATCGCAAATGTTTCTTCGCTACCATGTGTGATCGCTCTTTATAGCTTTGGTTGCAAATGAGCCGCCTTCGCTTGTTGAAAGTGCGCCTGGCGCCAGATAATTGGGTGGGATTCCTTTGCGCCATCTGTTGTGCTGTGCGGTAGTTGTGACAGATTGCGTGACGTTCTGCCGTTGTGGAGCATTTGAACAACTGCCCCCAAATTCTGATCAGCTTGCTACGAGGGAAGCTTGTCAAGTCCAGCAGTTTTTAATAACGTTGGATGAAGAAATGCAGCCCTAAATGCTTCACCATTTGCCTTATTTTGCTGGACATACCCTGTTTCCCCCAAAATAAGACACCCCCTGATAATAAGCCCAATCGGGCTTTTGAATGCATGGCAATAAGGCCAAGTGCTTATTTCAGGGTTCAAAAAAAATATAAGACAGGGTCTTATTGTCAGGGAAACATGGTATTTATGCATTTTCCCCCTCAGCCATTTAGTGCTCCAGGTAAAAACCACAGGTGTCCTGTGCCAGCAATGAGATCTGCAGTGGAATTTCTGCAGATTGCCTCTAGAGTCATACTCTTTGTGGCATTTATAGACTTTTAATTCAAACCAATTACACAGTGTAACGTTTATTAAATGGGTGAATTCATGAATTGCATCAATTTATCAGCGAATAGGTAGATCAATATATGGAACAATATATCAAGTAGTCACTAGTTTTTCCTGTAAATGTCAGTACTTTGATTTAATAATAAAGTGAAGTAGAATTAAGCCTTGCCAGCTGTATAACACGCTCAGTGTAAATGCTGATTGGTTTGTGGACATGTTTTTATTCCATTTCCACTCTTTGCAAGGGCTGCTCCTGTTCTTGGTTGGAAGTGAAAGCTCTTAATCGCTCTTGAGCAATAAGTTTAGCAGAGAACCTGAGTGAACGCCACGCGTGCAAAATATCCGTGACTCCCCTGCCTTCTGGATTTTATTTATTTGTGATCGCCTTGATGGCAAAAAAGCCGGAAGGCTAGTTTAGGAAAAGCACTGCTCATTTCATTGGAAATTTGGGGCGATCCTGGTAAACTTAATAGACTCAAAGCCTTACAGTTTGTTTTCTCTCTGCAGTCTCTGGAAAATCAGAAGGGCCACCCGGATGGCCCACGTTGGCCAGATGTGCAGCCGGTCATCTGGCAGAACGAGGAAAGGCGGCGAAGCAAGCAGATCAGGAGGGAGTATTTCAAGGTAGGCCCCCCTTTTTCTCTGCGTGCCAACTAACCAAATATCAGCCTAAGAAAATAAAACCATTTCTGCCCTTAGAAAGTGTCAGAAACCTCTAAAAGCAACTTAAGTCACATTTGTAATTATTTTCCTAAAGAAAAAAAATTAACAGAATAAAAATTTTTAAAAGAAAAAGGGAATTGGTGAGAAAAGAATAGAGAAGTAAAAGAGAAAAATGGCCTACAGTGTTCTTTACAGCAATTACAAATGTGTTTGAATTTTATCTTCTCTCTTTTGAGTTTACATCATAACTCCCCTCTTCCCATAATCAAACCCACAATTCACGTACTGTACTTTTTTTTTTTTGACTTTTTCAGTCCATAAAAGGTTTCCAGTCCCAGACAGAACCACATCCTGCCTTTTAAAATGCCTGCAAGCAACCTAGTTTTTCTGCCTTGAACAGCAAGCTCAGTTAGACCTGATAACTGAAATTTTAAAAATCTGTCTGGCAGGGGTTTTTTTTTTTTTTCTCATGCAAGCCAAGCCTTAATGGAATTGAAGGTAGTTTCCAAGGATTATTGTAAAAGAGGAAGCACCTCAAAATATTTTAAGGGTAGTATTTACATTGAAAGATCAGATCGATCTCTGGCATACAGAATAATACACACAATAGAAACAGGTCTAGGAGGAGGCTGGAACAGAGGTGAAATCCAAATTTTTTTATTACCAGTTCTGTGGGCGTGGCTTGGTGGGCGTGGTGTGGCTTGGTGGGCATGGCAGGGGAAGGATACTGCAAAATCCCCATTCCCTCCCCACTCTGGGACCAGCCAGAAGTGGTATTTGCTGGTTCTCTGAACTACTCAAAATTTCCGCTACCGGTTCTCCAGAACCTGTCAGAACCTGCTGGATTTCACCCCTGGGCTGTAGGGATAATAGTTGTTGAGCATCAGCTGTTTTTGACCAAGGCCAGAAGTGCCGTATCCATCCAATGGATGGCTCTGTGCTTGTGACATTCATGAGATCTCTCTCACAGCCTTATTCTGACTTACTCGAATTCCTGTGAATCTCTGCTCTCGGTTGGTCTGGCTTTGGATCAACATTATCTGGATTCAGCCACTGAGCGATGCTTGCAGTGTGTCTGATCTCCCCTGGCACAACCATCCCCAGCGCCCACAGCTGTCTTGGCATTTCCTGTCCAGAGCATCCTTGAGAAGCCTCTGACTGCGGTTCTGTCTGCCACGAGAAAGGGAAAGCAGCAGGAAGCCATCAGGAGAAGCCTCCCACGAAGGGGCAACCCTGCCTTCTTTTCTCTGGGCACGGAGCCCTTTCCGCTTGTTTGTCTCTGGCTGAGTACAGCGGCTGCGTGCTTCGACAGAGGAACTGGAAAACAGAAGGCCTTGTGAGCCCAGCCTTGTCGTTGAGCTGAAGACAGTTGACGCAGGGAGGATGCGTGAGAAGGGCAACAAGCTGGCTGGGGAATTCTGGGAGTTGAAGTCCACAAAGTCACTGAGGTTGGACACCCCTGATCCAAGCCACTTTTTGCCCAAGGTGGTTCTGTGATCCTTTGATCCTTAGATCTGTTTCTCCCATGAAATTCTTAAGTTTGGCCCCCCAGGGCAAAGTCTGCTCTGGGTAAAAGGAAGCCAGGGAAGAATTCACCATACCTGGCTCAGGAACTTTCTCCTCAGGGTCAGAGAAGGCCTGGAGTTTAGTGCAGAATTTTTTTTTACAGGGGTAGCAAAAATATGGACTCTGGCCAGTTAGTGAGTTCCTCTTACCTTTGCTACCGGTTTGGAACTGGGGGTGCGTGTGCGCGGTGCTTCTGCGTATGCACAGAGCATCCCTGATGGCGGATGGGCGGAGCTTCCCACTGCCGTCACTACCAATTCACCCGAACCAGGGCTAACCGGTAGAAACCCACCACTGACTCTGGCCAGGCCCAATGGGAACTCTGGAACTTGCAGCCGCAGGGCATCTAGAGAGCGAGCGGTTGGGGAGCCTGGCTGAAGCCTTCTGCCTCTGCAGGTCCTTTGCATAAGGGACAGAGAGCTTGTTATGGTGGGGTCTGCAAAGCCTCGAGATACAGGCCTGCTGTAATAGGCGAAGAGCGTAAACTAAGGTCGCCTGCTAGGGGATGCATTATTTGGAGCGTAGCAGAGTTTATCCTTAAGGAAATGCAGCTGGGATTATTCTGGGAATAAACATTTCTCTCTAGAGAGCTTGTCAGCCAGGCAGTTCCTCCTCTGGGAAGCCAAATCCAGTTTTATTATCCTGGTCACCGAGCCTAAGCGTTACACATTGCCTCTTAACTAGCATTTTAAGCCTCCAAGAGAGCTCCCTAAGATTCTGCCGCCATGCCAGAATGGCCCCGGAATGGTCTCTGTCTCAGGATGGCTTGGTTACGTGGCGAGAGGATGAAACTCAGAGCCCGAAGTGATTAAACACAAACAGGCTCCGAAATCTGTCTCTTTTTCAGTACAAGTCTTCGCGGAAGAGCTCCAGTGGAAATGAAAACGATGAGGTAAGTGAGGAGTGGAAGACAAACTGAAACTTAACGGTGGAAATGGAGGATTCTGTAACATTGTTCTTTAAATTCTCCTCCCAATGTTCCCATGCAAAGTTGTTCCCTTTCCCTCTCGAAGAAATAATGCCTGAGCATAATTTACATCAACAGCCCATGAATTCAACACGGCTTGATAATCTCGTAGATGCACGGAGTCTCCTGAATGTCTCCCTTGACCTAGCCAGGAACCGGTCTTAAATGATCTCTTGGTTTTTACAGTGCTCTGCCCTGTTTTAAACGTTGGTTTCTATGAAATGGGGGCCGCCCTGGGGTCTGCTGAAGGGCAGATTATACATACTTTAATAAATAACCAGGCATAGAAATAAGGAAGATCTGATCTGCGAGAAATTTAGATATTATCTCCCAGAATTAAATCTGGGAGAAATTTAGGCGGATGAGGGAGGAACTGATCTCACATTTTAAGCTACTTATCATGTAAGCAAGGACAAGTGTAGATGTAGATGTTGGGCCAGCAAAGTTTCTTAGCAGATGCTACGAGAGCCGTCTGTAGGCTACGGCAGCAGAAAAACAGAGACAGGCTAATAGTCCCTTTTCTGATTAGCCAATGAGAGGGAAAAGGCAGGGACTCCTTTTGATCGTTAACCGAAGATGGAATCCCGTTTGCCCCAGAGGTCCCTCTGATCTCAGCCCAGAGAGCTGCCCTCCTGCAAGGAGATCACATTCAGAGGTCCCTCTTTGGGCATCCCCAAGCCTGAGAAGTCTGAAGCATCTCCATAAGTTTAGCCGCGTGTCTCTGTTTGGGAAAATATGTGTTTGTACGCGCACACACACGTTAATGTATTGTCTGACCAAACTTTTCGTTTTAAAACATTTCATCTTACAATTTCCACCTTTTTGGTTTTGTTTTGTTTTTGTAGCAAGACAGTGATCATGCTAATGTGTCTCCACAGTCTCCTGTGTCATCCGAGGTACAAGTCTCTCTCTGTCTGTCTGTCTGTCTGTCTATTTTTGTTAGTATCACAAAGTGGATTTTAACCGCGACATGCAGTTTTGGTGTAATTGGTGTTGCCTGTAGAATGGAAGCTCACTCCAAGCGTGATCGGAAATATATTATGGAAGGGGTGTAACGTATGCTTGGAAGAAGAAGCAAAGTTTCTGAACTCTTTCCATCTTTAAGAATCATGTCATCAAAGGGCTTTTGGGGGGGGGACCTTTCTAGAGAACGTCTCCCCTCCCGCTTCCCTGAAGCTCTCTGGTCCTGGCACTAAATTGAACTTTTATAAGCAGTGAGTGCCCCTTTCTCAGGAATTCCCCCTGCTGTGGCCAAAAGGCAGTGGGCATCCAGGCTCTTTTTCTCCATACTGGGAAATGGCAAAATATCTTCCCTGCATAGCGATTTTCCAGCTGAGCCCAAAGTCCCTGGATTCTTGACGCTTGCATGCCTTGGGGTGCCCTCTGTGGCATCTAACAGCTCTGCTTCTCCTCCCTCCTTTCAAGGATTATGACCGGGCAGACGGGAGTCCTCATGGCCCTTTTGGACTGAAGCCCCGATCAGGTGAGGACTGTAATTCAATCAGTCAGAATAGAGCTGGAAGGGAGGGGGGGGACCTTGGAGATCTTGTAGTCCAACCCCCTGCTCAAGCAGGAAACCCTATAGCAGTGTTTTTCAACCTTGGAAGCTTGAAGATGGGTGGACTGGGGGATTCTGGGAGTTGAAGTCCACCCATCTTCAAGCTTCCAAGGTTGAGAAACACTGCCCTATACCATTTTAGACAGTGGTTGTCCAGTCCTTTCTTAAAAACCTCCACCGATGAAGCACCCACAACTTCTGTTCCTCAATTCTGGTGACTTGTCCTCACTGTCAGGAAGTTTCTCCTTAATTCCAGGTTGCGTCTTTCCTTGATGAGTTTCCATCCGTTGTTTCTTGTCCTGCCTTCAGGGGCTTTGGAGAATAGATTGAGCCCCTCTCTTCTTTGAGGCAGCCCCTCAGATACTGGAACACTGTTATCGTGTCACCCCTATTCCTTCTTTTCTCTAGACTAGCCAAACCCAAATCCTGCAACCGTTCTCCAGGCCTTGGGGTGGGGGTTAGAACAGAGATTGGGAGGGTCGGAGGACAGAGAGGTTGAATTTAGAAGAAAGGGAAGACTGTTAAGTGACAGGCAGGGCAGAGAGAACAAAGCAAGAGAAGACCAAGCAGCTGCCTTGCCAACTGGGCCAGGGCATTGCAGGGCCAGTCCTTCGGTTCTAGAGATCCTGCTTTGCAGCCCCCACCGCCTGAGCATGGAGACCCCCTGGGACGCTGCGGGATGTTGGACTGCCATTCCTGGATCAAGGGAGTTGGGCTAGTCTGGGGTGGATGGCCTAAATCACGTCCAGCTGGAAATTTCTCTTCCCACAACGAACGAGAGCCCTTCGTTTCAACACAAGGAAAAGGAGTTTATCGATTAGAATGCCTGTTTTTGTTCCTTTGCACAAATTCTGCCCAGGTTTTTTTTAATGCGACATTCATTTCTGACAGACAATTCATTTCTAACCCCCCCTCCCCTCTCGTATGACGAATGCCGTTGTCATACAACCCAGAAGCAGCTTTAGTTTATTGGATTTGAGAGTCACCGAGGGAGGGAGGTGCGAGCAAGAAGCATCGTGCGCGAGCCATTCTCTGCGTCGTTTTCAACGGTCTGCTTCCCTTTTTAGCGTTCGGGCGGTCTCGTCAAGACTACAGCACCGTGGACCCCGGCTTCACCATGAGGAGGAAAATGGAGCACCTGCGGGAAGAAAGGGAACAGATTAAACAACTGCGCAGTGTAAGTTTCCTTTCATGCAGGGGCCTCACCAAACTTGGCAACTTGTGGACTTCATCTCTCAGAATTGCCCAGCCAGCAACTCTGGCTGGGGAATTCTGGGAGTTGAAGTCCACAGGATTTTAAAGTTGCCAAAGCTGGAGAGTCCTCCCTCAATGGGATGGGTGTTGAGGCTGCAGGTGGCTTTCCTGGGGGAGCTGGCTTTTGACCTTGAGTGCGTCTCCTTTGCCCTAGAACTTGGAGTCGCGGTTGAAGGTCAGCTTGCCCGACGATATCGGAGCCGCTCTCATGGATGGGGTGGTTCTCTGTCACCTGGCCAACCACATCAGACCACGCTCTGTGGCCAGCATTCACGTCCCGTCACCAGCTGTGGTGAGTGAGCTGCGTGCATTGCCTCCCTAAGTCCAGACGAGCTCCAGACCAGCATTTGAAGCAGTGATGAAATCCAATTTTTTTTATTACTGGTTCTGTGGGCGTGGCTTGGTGGGAGTCGTGTGGCTTGGTGGGTGTGGCAGGGGAAGGATACTGCAAAATCCCCATTCCCTACCGACTCCTGGGTCCAACCAGAGGTGGTATTTGCCGGTTCTCTGAACTGCTCAAAATTTCTGCTACTGGTTCTCCAGGACCTGCTGGATTTCACCCCTGCTTTGAAGTAAATCTCTCTTAATCTTAGGACTAGACGGAGCTGATTTTCTTCTTCTGCTCCTTGGTTGGATTATTTCTCTTGACGGTTCTGCTTCTCTCTCTCTCTCTTTCTCTCTGTCAACAGCCTAAGCTCAGTATGGCAAAATGCCGAAGAAATGTTGAAAATTTCCTGGACGCTTGCAAAAAACTTGGCGTGGCACAGGTAAATTGCTGAGGTGCTTAACAACGCCAGTAGTGGTGGACATCTGTGTCCCAAAGAAAGTCATGCCCTTTAGAGCAGGGGTCTCCAACCTTGGCAACTCTCAGAATTCTGGGAGTTGAAGTCCGCCAGGCTTAAGGTTGCCAAGGTTGGAGACCCCTGCTTTAGAGGGTGCCTTGGGTCCTCCTCCTTTGGAACCTCGGTCTTTGAATCACCCCCTTAAAGGAAGCTCTTTTCCTATGTCGCTTGACTTCGGGTTTTCTTCCGTGTGAGAATCTGACGTTGGGGTCTCTTCCTTTTCCAGGAAAGACTCTGCTTGCCCCATCACATTTTGGAAGAGAGAGGACTGGTCAAAGTTGGACTCACGGTTCAGGCTCTGCTTGAGATCCCTTCTTCCAAAGCTTCACAGCTGTCCTGCCTGTAACGGGACCCCTGCGGAAGGAACGGGCCGCCACTGCGCCTGTTGGACCCATCCCAGGCCTTTCGACTCCGTCCAGGGGAACCTCCCAAGCCATTGGCCGTCAGGGCTGTCCAGGGCTCCTGGGTTGTATGTTGGGAACCGGGATTTCAGCTGACAATTCCCTGGGAGCGTTTTAAAAAAAAAAAAATCCTATTTTCTTGTTTACCACGAGAGCCATAAGAGATTTCGAGGCCGTCAGATTCTCTTCCCAGGTAGAACCTGTCCTGCGTTTGCCCCGCAACCATCCGTCAAGCCTTCGTTTTTTTTAACGGACTTTTTAAAGGAGCATTTGACTGCATCCCAATTCCTCTTAGATTTCGCAGCACACCTTTAAGCAGGAAACCAGGCACAGGAGCTTTGAGAAAGGCTGACGGTGGGGCAGCATAACCCGTTGCAGGCTTTTTGGTGGCATCTGGGGAGACATGCATTTTCCTTTCATGGACGCGATGGAGCAAGGCAGCTCTTAATACGGCATTTGCATTAAATGTTTTGACAGGTATCATTTCCATGTACATTTGCAAAATAATCAGAAATCACTCTAGCATAGTAGAAAATCCGGACGAGCATCACAGAAACAGTTTGACCAGTTTTGAGAAGATTTGCATCCTTCATTTTTTGCACCACTTACCAATGTATCATTTCCAATATTTTAGTTGGGTGTATGCTGGCGATGACAGAATAGTATACAATATAAAGGACAAATTGTGTGATTTCCCCCCCTCCCCCCCCAGTATTCTAGATTGGTGCCAAAATATTTTTCAGTTGTACTGTAGATTGTTTACCTGTGAAGTGCCTGTGTAATAACTCTTTTCCTAGTCTTAAAACATTTTTGCAGTTTCTTTACGTCTCAATAGATGCAATGCGTATTTTTAAATATTAGGTTTTTGTAAGATTGGTAATACGTGAAGTTTAAAGGACTAACATCTGAATGTTGGATGTTCTTCAGTTTGCACACTTTGAATTTATTAAGTTTGGTTTTTAGGGGAAAAAATGTAAATATGCTTTTATTTATCATATTTAATTTGATATGTAATCATTTTTAATGTATTTGTTGGTCGGTGGATGTTTGAAAAATTATTTTCCTTGTCTGGGATAAATAATGACATGTAGGGTTTTTAATGGAGAATCCTACAGAAGAGTGTTAGTTAAAAACTTTCAGTAAAACTGCCAAAAAAAAAAAGGTTTTTTAAAGAAAAAATAATAATCTCAGGTTTATATTGTGATAGCCAGGATTTCATAGCTCGCTCCCAACTTCATACAATCTTTTGTTGTTGTTGTTGAATGAGGAACGTCATGAAGTAGAGGAAAGATTAATACCCTTGATCAAATCTCTGCCCCCCCCAGCCCCCCTCCACACCGGCCAGTTTAAGGGATGGAGCAGTTCCGTCTGTGTGTTGTGGCCGCAACCCCTGACTGCCAAGTCCCTCTCTGCCCACCCAACCCACTCCAGTGTTGTTGCCAAGGGTGTGTGTAAGTGGAAAGGAGATGCAGCCGTGGGGAATGGGAAAGAGGAATGGGGGGCGTGTGAGTGGATGCATGGCAACTCCAGAGGTGCCATCTTTGATGCTCTCTCCCATTGCCACCTTTCAAGAGAGCAGCCAGTATTACAAGCTACCCACACACACTCCCTGTGTTCTTTCAGTGTTGCTGTTCCTTTGGGGAGCTGTTTTAGGCCCTGCCTGCTCGAGCCGTTGGGGGCTTGAGAGAAAGAGAGACCCCAACCCCTCCCAAGTTCCATTCAGAGTCCTCCCCTCCCTTCCCTGCAGAGGACCTCCCCGCCCCAGGGCCCATTAGAGGGAAGCATCTCGAAGGGGATCCGCCCCATGGCATTTGGAGAGGCCTAGAAATAAGCTTTGCATGGCTCCGTTTCTAAAATCTGCACTTCCGTTGCTCCCCTTCGATTAAGCGATTAAGGTTCAGGTTTTGCCTGTAGACTCCTTTGGTTGGAGTCTAAATTATCTTTTCTTGCTGGAATTACTAAGAAATAAAATTCTTTGCACTTTTTTTTTTTTTTTTTTTGCAGCCCAAAGAATTCCACTGTTAGTTGACGAAGCATGTTGCGGGATTGCGGTGACACTCGTAGAGGTACACAGTGATCTCTCCCCACCACCCCCACCCCCGTGTGAAAAGTGAGGCCCGGCACCACTTTTCCCATCGTTGCAGGGGTGGTGGGAGCGACCACCTTGATGAAACGGGAAACATATTCAATATAGGGAAGCTTTTAAAGAGGTTTTTAAATTGCATTCTTATTTATTTCCATTTCAGGAAGAAAAGGCTCAGAAATGAGTCTTTTTGAGATAGAAATCTATTTGCCATGGCAATTTGTGTCCTGTTCCCAATGAACACAAATCTTATCAGTCTAACTCAATATATACCATATTTTTCGGAGTGTAAGACGCACCTTTTTCCCCCCTAAAAGAGGGTGAAAGTTTAGGTGCGTCTTATACACCGAATGTAGCCCCGCCCACCCACTGGCCCCCCACCCTTTGGCCTCTGCCTCCCAGCAGTTTACCTCCTTGCAGCAAGCAGCAGGAAAAAAAACAGCTCCTTTCAGCTTCAGCACAGCCTAATTAGCACAAGTTGATTGGATGGGCCTCCCGACTCTCAGCTGTTTTGTGCTGGCCTCTGCTGCTTGCTGCAAGGAGGTAAATTGCTGGGATCAGGGGAAGGCCAGTGCAGAGGAGCTCAGCCCAATTTGAAGAGACAAGGTGAAGGGGTGTCAGTCATAGGTATGACACCTGCGTGCAGGTGGATTTTGGAGAGGCAGAAAACGCCTGCTCAGCAACCATTAGATCCAATTCTGGGTTGCCCCCAGTGCCAATGATTTCTGGCCTTGTGTTCCTCGAGATGATGACAGCCCTGTTGAAACTTAGGCTGCCTTTTTGGAAGCAGAGAGGAGAGCCCAGTTTTTGTTTTTTGGGGGAAAAGGCAACCTTCTCTTGTTTCCGGGTTCTGCAGCTCTTTGTCTTCAGCCTAAACTTCCTTTTCCTGCAGTTGGCCCTTGCTCCTCAGCACACAACCGACTTGTCTTTTACGCAATAGATTGTGAGGCCCTAAAAAGGAGGCGGCAGAGGGGTTTGTCTCAGAGGGGCCATCTTCTCATTTCTCCACCTTCAGAGCTTCCACCTCGGAAGGTGCGATTCTTCGCCGAGAGCTTTGGAAAGAGAGCACGATCGGGAGAAGCCCATGGAGGCTTTTAAGGACTTGGGGACTTCAATTCCTGTGCTGGCTGAGGAATTCTGGGAGTTGAAGTCCCCAAGCCTTAAAGTTGCCAAGGCCGGAGACCCCTGTTCTAACGAACGAAATGCCATGGGATGGGGTCTGCAACAGACGCCTCTGGGAAGTGGCCTTAACTGGGCGTCAGGCTGAATCCTTCCAGACTGTTCTAAGACTGGGGAGGGGGGTGCCAAGCCAGAAGTGTTTATGTAAACACTTCTCGACTTTTGCAAAATGTCCTTGAGGGCCTGACTTTTGGAATTCTTGACGTCTCCTTCCTCCATTTGTTCTGCATTAAAATGCAATTGTGAGCTCATGTTAAATTAAAATGCATGAAATGATTTGTTTATATTTAGATCAGCCTTCCCCAGTTGATTGTTCTCTGTATATATATCTATTGGCCGTTCAGTTGCCCTAACCTTCAACCAGGACACAGGCATGGCTTCAGGGCGCCTTACTGGGAAAATTTGGTCTTTAGCTATTTTATTGGTTTTATTACCGGTTGGTTTAGACCAGGGGTCTGCAACCTTAAATACTAAAAGAGCCATTTGGACCCACAGAAAAGAAAACACCGGGAGCCACAAAACCTGGGTGGGCGTGGCCAACTCAATGTCACTCACTTCCACCAGTCACATGACCTCCCCCCTTAGCCACGCCTACCCAGCTGGTCATTAGGGCAGAGAACCAGTTGTTAAAAAACACTGGGTACCACAAAATCCTTTTGACATATCTCTCTCTCCTTCTCTCTCTGTCTGTCTCTGTCTCTGCCCTGGCCACTTCTCCATCCCCTTACCTTCTCAAGCCAGGTGAGGGGTGACTGAGAGGGGAGGACAAGGGGTGGGGCCAGCCAGCAGAGGGCCCAAAGAGCCACATGCGGCTCCAGAGCCGCAGGTTGCTGACCCCTGGTTTAGATGCTTTTTAAGGTTGCGGATGCTAGGATTTTTTAATCCCTTTGAAATAAAACAAAAGGAAGGCCTCCAAATTTAAGAATAAAAGATATGGAAAAATAGAGGTAAATGAAATTTTTAGTTCTCCTTCACTCCCCTTCCAAAGGCATGGGGTAAATAAAGCAAAGTCATATTGTTCTGTGTGTGTGTGTGTGTTTGTGTGTGTGTGTGTGTGCCATGTATTAATCCCCTTTATTTTGTTTTTACATGAATCTGATTTTCCTGCCCCCTCCCTTTATACATTTTCTCTTCTCACTATCTGGCCTCCGTACGATTCTTGTGCAGAGCATAATAGCTAGGAAGTCCAGGAGTTTCTAAGTCATATCGTTAGTGAATAAATGCAATAAATAAATGATCAGCTCTTAAAATGGGTTGATTATGAAACGGGCACTGCCCTCCACCCCCTCTAGTCCACGTCGCCTAGGCTTCGTTCTCGGGCCGCAACGGATCCTTCCATTTCTTTGGAATTTCGGCAGCAACGCAAACCCAGCCGGAGCGCCAGAGATGCCCGCCAGCCAAGCCGTGTCGATGCTCAGTTGTGACGGGGGAGGGGGCGTTTAAGCAGAGATGTGCAAACTGTTGAATGATCTGTGGACCCTCCTTGGACCAAAAAGGGTCCAGGTGATGAGTTTTGTCTTTGTGGGTGTCTTTTTTAAAAAAAAAAAAAAAAACTACTACTTAATTATTATCCATTCCTTTTGTATCTCCTTTCTTTCATTCCTGATCGGAGGGTTGCTCTTTTTATATGCATAAATGCAAATCAGTTTGGAAGTAGCCAGGAACTCCGTCTTTTCTTCTGTGTCTTGTACCTGTTTGCCATCCATGCTTCTTTCCTGTCCTCACCGGTTGCCCTTGTTCCACAACTCCTTTGACTGCTTTCTGGATTTCTTCTTGCTGGAGCTTCCGACGTCCACGTTTCCTGGAACGGCAGTCCTGTTTTCTTTCCTTTTGTACAGAGTTTTCTATTGAAATCTGCATGGATAAACCTAATGTACATACTCTGTGTATAAAATGAAAAGTCTTTCGTAATTCTCCCCTGGCGTTGCGTGTTCTGTAGCTTTTGGTTCCACATTTTGTCTGGATGCTGGTGGGTGACCCAACGGCTGGGGGGGGGGGGGAGACAGGGGAGGGTCCGGCCAGGAGCAAGGCTCCTTCACCATTTTAGGGGGAATCAGGGCTGTGTTTCTAACTGATCCAATCCAGCTTTAGGGGTTGCTTAGATTTGGCCTCCCTGGGTTTCACCTCTGGCGTTCCTTCCCCTCCCTCTTGTTCCTGTTTTGTTTTGTTTTCACATTGTCAACCTTGTGAAAGAGAAGCTAGTAGGAGGGACCACAGCTCAGCAAGGGACAATTTTAGCTGCTTTTAATGTTTAATGAGGTTCCTGCCCATCTGCCTTTGCTGAACACGCTTAGCCGTATCTCTTGCCAGAACAAGAAGGCAAAGGATGCCCATTCCTTTCCCCCTGCCTACTTTCATCAAGGGCCGAATATTTAGAGCTGCAGCAATCAATCAATCAGAACAGAGAACAGCCGGAAGGGACCTTGGAGGTCTTCTAGTCCAACCCCCTGCTCAAGCAGGAGACCCTATAACGGGGGTCTGCAACCTTAAACACTCAAAGAGCCATTTGGACCCGTTTCCCACAGAAAAGAAAACACCGGGAGCCACAAAACCCTTCCCGTGCCTGACTATTTCTTGAGCGGCCACAAAAGAAGCATATGTAGTTGAATTAGACGTTCTGTTTCCTTCTGAAGCTTTTCTTTTCTTGGATTTATCCATGGTTGGCCTACTGGGGGCTCGAAAAGCTCAGTAAATCGCGTGCCGGCGGGTGTCGCACATTGGCGGTTGTGACGCATATTTTGAGTGCCAGGGAGCCGCAGCAGGGGGGTGAAAGAGCCACATGCGGCTCCAGAGCCCCAGGTTGCTGACCCCCGCCCTATACCATTTGAGACAAGTGGCTGCCCGATATCTTCTTAAAAACCCCAGTGACGGAGCACCCACAACTTCTGGTGGCAAGATGTTCCACTGGTTAATAGTTCTCACTGTTCCATTGTCTTGCCTTTTGGTGCTTTAGAAAATAAGTTGATCCCCCGCCCCTTTGTGGCAGTCCCTCAAATACTGGAAGGCTGCTATCATGTCATATCATGGTGGAGGGAGGCCCCCCCAGAAACCAAAGGGGAGGAGAAGAGACTTCCACGATTAAGATTCTTTCTCCCCTCTGCTGTCAGAAAGCCGAGGGAAGGCTTTAAAGGCCCCCTTCACCAGCCTCCTTGGGGAGGGAAGGCTTCATGCTCTGCCTGACTCCTGGCAGCAGAGATCCTTTCCACCCCCCCATGCCCCCCCCCCGAGAATGCGCAGGGGCCAGCTTGACAGGTCCAGGGGGGGGCATGGATGTTTCGCTGTAGACCGCAGGATATGGAGATGGAGAAATGATTTTCTTGAGAGAAGTTGGGCAATCTTTCAAGTTCTGGCTTCTGGGAAGACCTTCCCAAAATAATCTTGACCATCCCTCTTGGCTGTTTTGCAAAATGGGCGAAGAGTTGGTTGGCTGAGATCAAGGCCCCGGATCTCCAGGTAGGAGGAGGGTCCCCGATGGCAGCCGGGACCTTCCTCTTTTCATCCCAATCTGAAGGCGGCCTCTTGAGGAGCAGAGAGAATAACCCTCCCTTCCTCCAGTCTGGCTACAGAAGTGCTGCAGGATCATCCCCACACCCTGTGCTGGAGAATTCCAGAAGACAACCAGATACGGCCTGAAGGTCCTGAATCTTGGATGATCTCCCCGGTTCCAATAGTTGGAGAGAGATGGAAACGTCTCCCTTTTTGCTCTACGTGCCCTCCTGCATGATTCCATAAGCCTTAATCACATTCTCCTATCTTCTCCAGTCTTCAAAATGAAACGTTGAAAAGCCCACTCCCACACACCCCACACACATCAATGTAACTCTGTCATCATTAAAATTCTCCCCCTTTCCCCTTCCTCCTGCATGGTGACCATCAGGTTCCAAAAAAATTTACTACTGGTTCTGGGAGTGTGGCATGGTGGGCATGGCAGGGGAAGGATACTGTAAAATCTCCATTCCCACCCCAATCCAGGGGGAGGTTACTGCAAAATCCCCATTTCCTCCCGATCAGCTGGGACTCAGGAGACAGAGAATAGATGGGGGCGGGGCCAGTCAGAATTTTTACTACCGATTCTCCGAACTACTCAAAATTTCCACTACCGGTTCTCCAGAACTCGTCAGAACCTGCTCAAACCCACCTCTGGTGACCATACACATGTGTTCATGGGTGTTGCAATAAGGTATGCAAAAGATTCTTTTGGGGGGGGCGGAGGGTAGGTCAGCAAAATGCCTGGGGCTGTGGATGCAGCACCTTTCCTGAGGTGGCCTCATCCTCCAGAACGGGGGTCTCCAACCTTGGCAACATTAAGACTTGCGGACTTCAACTCCCAGAATTCCCCAGCCAGCATTCCAGTGTTTGTAGCACAAAGGTTTCTCCAGCAGGAATACAATATTGGTAGGTTGGAGACCACTTCCCAACTATCACCTGTCCAGTTGTGGCAAACTGCGGGGGAGGGGGAGCATTTTCACTACCCTCCATGACCAAGATCGAGATTTACGTAGCCCAGAAGATGGATGGAAGTTGACCCTGAGTTTTCTTCAGGTATCCCAGTAAGAAATGTTGACATCTCCAAGCCCAAATCCCTTTATTTAATACGTGACTTACTCATAATTGACCACTGAGACCCAACGGAGAAAAAGAAAGATTTTTAAAAAAAGAAAACCCACCTGAGATTAACGGTATTTTTTGTTCATGCACCAGAATGAAAATAACAGTTTCATAAGCAAAAGAAGGGGTGCCGTTTTGCAGCTGCTCCCACGGGAGACCCACCTGCTCCGTTCCCCACAACCAGGGACTGGTTCTGAATTTAAGAATGGTGCAAAACAACAAGCTACAAGTAAGAAAGCGGAAATGGGGGTGGGGGCGAAAGGTTTTGTTCATAATGCCATATTTACATTGTTCTTTGACTAGCAGGAACATTGTTCATGAGATTCAGAGGTGAGTAGAAGCGTGTAAGTTTACACGCTACTTGTTTTTTCACCGCCGCAGCTGTTGACCGAGATCTCCGGGGTCCCTACGTGCATTTCCAAAGCCGCCTCCATCTCGTCCAGCTCCGTGCTGTTGAGTTCATGGCGGTAACTGTTCAAGTTGAGATCCTTGCCGTAGAAGGCTGTGGAGGAGACATTGGGGCACTGGCTGTGCAGCTGGGAGGCCCTTTTCCCGCTCTCGTAGCGGCACCGGATATAGTCAGAGAAAGCCCTGCGGTAGATCTTGTTGAAGAGTGTGTAGACCAGGGGATTGACCCCCGAGCAGATGTAGCCCACCCAAACAAACACGTCCAGAAGCTCACGGAGAACCGCCTTGTCGCAGGCGTCCTGGCAGAGAACGGACATGATGTTGGTGATAAAAAACGGGCACCACATAATCAGGAACAAAAAGAAGACGATCCCCAAGACTTTGGAAGCCCTGCGTTCGTTGTTGATGGACTGCATGGTGCCTTTCCGGAAAAGAACGGCTTCTTTGTTGACCGGAGAGTTTAAGTGGGAAGCCGCCTCGTGGTTCTGCAGCATGGAAAGGTTCTCCGCGTTGGGGTCCTTCCTCACAGAGCTCATGCTGCTCCTCCTCGGCTTGAGGGGCTCCCCGTACAGGAAGAGAGACGCCTGCTTCTGCAGGACCTGGATGGTCAGGCAGTAGGCAACCACCATGATCATCAGGGGGATGAAGAACGCCACGAAGGAGCCGATGAGGACAAAGTTTTCGTCGTTCAGGACACAGCTTCCATTCACAAAGACCCGAGAATCATCTTGCAAGCCGATGACTGGGATGGGCAGTGAAATACCTGGAGGAGAAGACATGCCAAGAAGAAAAACCATCAAGAGAAGCAGACATGGAGAAAAGGGCTGCTGCTTTCATTGGATTCGTGACCGGGCCTTGAATACCTGTGATTTGGGCACTGTCAGAGTGACCAGTCCCACCAGAACTTTCTCTGTCAAAGGAAGTGAAGGTGTCCAGGGCAGTGGTGAAATCCACATTTTTTTACTACTGGTTCTGTAGGCATGGCTTAACGGGCGTGGTGTGGCTTAGTGGGCGTGGCTTGGTGGGCATGGCAAGGGAAGGATACTGCAAAATCTCCATTCCCACCCCACTCTGGGGCCAGCCAGAGGTGGTATTTGCCAGTTCTCCGAACTACTCAAAATTTCCACTACCGGTTCTCCAGTACCTGTCAGAACCTGCTGGATTTCACCCCTGGTCCAGGGGCAACAGGGGAATGAGAGATTTTGGGTCAGTTTAGAGATATTTAATGAAATGGCCAAGACAACCTGCATTTTCCCATGGTCCTCTGGTATTAACTCTCCAAGATCCCGCTCTGTCTCCTTAGAAGACCTTACCTCAACTTCCTGGCAGCTTTCAGTTGCCCAGAAAGGCTGAATCTCTTTGTATTGAGATGATCGGTTCTGATTAACAGAGTCCTGCACCTCTGATTGTGCTGAACTTCCTTCCCCTTCTTAGACTATCGTGACTTTGATTGTAGAGGTGGGGTTGGTGTACAGGAAAATCCACCAAACCCAAATAAAGCTATGGGCACCTTTTCCCACGAAGTTGCGAGACTTTAGGAAGAAAAGGGTGTGATCTTCCTTGGCTCCACTAGATGGTGCCCATGGCCCTGATGGGAAGGCAGGCGGCCATCTTGCACCGAAACATTGCTGGAGCCAAAAGCTTCGGTCTAATTTTCCCTACGGAGCTCAGGAACCCACCTCACGTCTCCCTCCCTCTCTTGCTTCCACCCTCCCATCCCCATCATGTAGAAGCCTTTGTCCCAAAGGTGCTTTTTCAAGAGGCAATTGAACTTTCTGGTTTTTCTTTGAAGACGTTTCACTTCTCATCCAAGAAGTTAAAGAAGTCAAGAGCTGAAGAAGCTTCTTGGATGAGAAGCGAAACGTCTTCAAAGAAAAACAAAGAAAGTGCAGTTGCCTCTTGAAAAAGAGCAGCTTTGGGACAACCAGGACCTGGAAGATGGAGAATCTTCATAGACGTAGAAACTTTTGTGTTTCATTTCAGGGGACTCTCTTGACAAGACAGGCCCAGTGGGAGAGATCACCCTTGTGGCCCCAGGGCATGTGGCCACCCCATAGCAAAGGGGTCCGGCTTCGAAGCAGGGAAAGAAAAGGGGCGAGAAGCTGCCCCACGTTACCCTAGAGCATGGTTTCTAACCTTGGCAACATTAAAAGGTGTGGGCTTCAACTCCCACAATTCTCCAGCCAGGATTTGAAGTCCACACTTCCTAACGTTGAAAAGATTGGGAAACTCTGCTCCAGACAGCTGCTCATGGAACATTGATTGATCTGTTACTGATTGATTGATTGAGTGATTGATTGATTGATTGACTGACTGAGCTCCAGTTTGTAAAAACAAGATTAAGCCTAGTAAAACCTAGGTTTAAATCTAGATGGATTGGTTAGCTGAAATGCATCATTTCAAACATACTAAACAGGTAACACGGAAAGGCAACCAAGATTCCTCTTGAATCAACTCTTCCAAGCATTTCAAGGAAAATATTTTTGGTTTTCCGCGGCAATTGATTATCTGCTGTCCTTCAGGCCTCGGTCAACGAGAGGGACCGCTTACCCATCGAAATGGTCCAGACGGCAGCGATCTTCATGATGGCCTTGGTGCGGGAGTTGAACCGGCTGTGTTCGATGGGGTTGCGGATGGCAACGTAACGGTCAAGGGAGATGGCGCAAAGGTGCATGATGGAGGCCGTGGAAAACAGCACATCTAGGGAAATCCAGATGGGACACAGTTGTTTAGGCAAAGGCCAGGCATAATCTGGAAGAGAGAGAAGGGAGAAGCGAGGAAGGAGATGTGAGCGGAAGGGGGCTTCAGCCCAAAACGGAGGGGGAAGGAGGAGAAGGAGAAGGAGGAAAATCCCCAGTCACTCAACCGCAAGTTGGGTACTACATTGGGTGATGCTAGGGCAAAGCACCTGGCAGGCAGGAGGGACCATATCCACTAAAGGATCCAGAAACGGAAAGGAACCTTCACTTCCCAGACAGGCCGAGGGGAAAAAACCCCACCCAGGAGGAAAGCATCTTTTAGACCAGGAGGGGCCAACCTTGGCAACTTTAAGACCTGTGGACTACAAGGGTGTGAAGATCATATCCTAACAGTTGCCAATTCCCACCACGGGTGATTTGGTGACTGCTTCCTGCTGAGTAAGCAGAAGCTGCAGGAGAAACATTGTAAGTCAATAAACAGCAAGCAGGAGCCTGCCGGAAAAGTTTGGAAGGCCTTGGCTGAGGAACCTGCTCCATCCTTGGGCTGCCAAGCGAACTTAAGACAGAAGACATGATGCGGCTTCTTCGCTTCCAAAAGGAGGAGTCCAAATCTCTAGGCAACCTTTTGGAATCTGTACCAAGATTTAACATGATTATGTGACAAGCAAAATTGTGCATTGGACGTTGGGGCTGTTTCTTAAATGTAATAAAAGGTTAATGCCAAGAGCCTCCCGTGGTTATGTTTCAGTTTATTTGTTGACTGTCTTGAGGTCATCCAGAGTTTTATTTGGCTATCTTTATCTGTGCTTTATATTCCCTGCTTTTGGCTGTAAGGAGGGAGGAGGAGGATGAATCTGAAAAAGGACAATTTTAACAAGTGAAGCCATTAAAAAAAAAACAGCCTCCCATTTTCAGCCTTGCAGGGAACCTTTCTTTCCAAACCACAATTCCCTTGTTGCCTTGCAGTGAGGAACTGCACCTATACACCTACACCCCAAACATCTTTCGGAGGGGCTGCTGTTATTCTGAGACCAGCCAGCCAGGGCATTTTCGTTCTCCAGGTCCCTTTGGAAAAAAAAATATTGCACATTCCGGGTTTTAGGCATTTCCAAAAGCAGCCTGTTTAAACAAAAGAGATATAAATGATTTAAGGAAATAAATGTAGAACGATGAGCTGTGTCCTGAATACCATCAACCTCTGTAAAACAAAGTCACCTTTCGGGTGCCAAAGAAAACACCTGGGCCCAGCAGAGCCCAAGGTGAGAGGGGAGAAGCTGCGATGAAAACAGCAACCGGTAGCTGTCAATCAAAGCGCCAGAAATAGGAAATTGTTTAAGGCTATGGAAAATTAAGCCCTTGTCGGTGGGGGGGGGGGGGGGGTTCCTCGCTTCAATTTTAAGGCGCCCTGCTTTCCAGCCTCCAAAGGGCCCTCCTGAACTTTTCACAGGAAGTAATGGATTAATTTTCCAGCTGAACTCAGAGCCTGGCCTCCTTAATGGCATTTCACTTTCCTGACAAGGTTGAAAAGTCGACTGGCGAGAACCTGCAGACGGACTGATGGGTCCTCCCCAGCGGCGAAGAGCACACGCCGCAGCCTGGCAGTTGACAGACGGATGAACTTCAGCTACCATTTGCATTTCTCAACACCCCTGAAGCGTTACGGCCAGGCGTATGTGCCGTGCAGGTTGCTCAGGTGTCCCAGACTCCGTCGTTTCCTTTTTGTACATAATAACCCTAATTACTCCTGGGTTATTTGTTGTGGCTTTCAGTCTTCTTTCCCTCATTTGCTCTGGCCCACATCTGCTTTTGGCACAGGGCGAGGCCAAGCTGGCAAGGGTGTAACCACACTGAGAAGGGAGGCAATTCCAGATGGAAGCCCTTGAGAAGAACTAACCCAACAGAGGATCCCAGGCTTCATGAGGAAGCATCAGAGGAGGGTTTCAGACTGCCAAGAGGTGGCAGACAGAGGATCCCAGCCAGTGGTGGGTTTCAAATCTTTTTACTACCGATTCTGTGGGCATGGCTTGGTGGGCGTGGTGTGGTGTGGTGTGGCTTGGTGGGCATGGCAGGGGAAGGATACTGTTAAATCTCCATTCCCTCCCCAATCCAGAGAAGGTTACTGCAAAATCCCCATTCCCTCCCGATCAGCTGGGACTTGGGAGGCAGAGAATAAATGGGGCCAGTCAGAATTTTTACTACTGGTTCTCTGAACTACTCAAAATTTCTGCTACCGGTTCTTCAGAACTGGTCAGAACCTGCTGAAACCCACTTCTGATCCCAGCAGATCCACAGTGACTCCAGCTTCTCCTCAGTTCAAATATGGATTCTCTTACAAATTGGAGAAGATGCTCACCTGCTAGACTGAAGCTCTCCCTTCTCACTAAAGGGTAGCCTCACTCATGGAAGACAGTGTCTCCTTCTCCCGTCAGCCCTGGATTGTCTTCTTTGGTAGTTGGTGGCTCTCCAAGGCTCCAGAGTTTTCCCCAGCCTAAATAATATCCCAGATCCCATTTCTCCGCAGACCAGGGACTGAGCCAAGAGGATGCCCTATTATGAAGCTCCACCATGCTCCGTGTGGTGATTGCTCTGCAGGGTTTCAAGGGAACCAGTTGAGCAAACCTGCCTGGAAATCCTGGAGAAGGAGCAGATGTTCTACAACTCAGGTGTTCCATCTTTTATCCCTCAGAGCAAAGTGACACGTCTGTGGACCTGCTGCTAGAAATAACCCAGCCCTGTTTAATTTCCTGTCTTTACTACTTAGCAGTGCTTGGGGTTTTATTTAAAAGAAAAATGGAAATGTCTATGCCTTTTATTCCCTGGGAGTTGGGTTCATTCCTGCGTCCACACAGGGAAAACTTCTCCCTGGGTGCTTCTCAATTTCTGCCATTTTAAGATGCGTGGACTTCATCTCACCAAATGCCCCAGCCACGGAATGGGACTTTTCTGCTCGATCCCTTCTCCTTGCCTGTTTTCTCTCAAGGTTTTCATCTCTGGGTTATTAGCCACAAACTTTTCTCCTCAGCTGGCCCTCCCCCAGTCTTTCACCACAGCACAAATGCACAAGGTGGCATTTCAGTCCAGAGGTGGGTTTCAGCAGGTTCTGACCAGTTCTGGAGAACCGGTAGCAGAAATTTTGAGTAGTTCGGAGAACCGGTAGTAAAAATTCTGACTGGCCTCACCCCCATCTATTCTCTGCCTCCCGAGTCCCAGCTGATTGGGAGGAAATGGGGATTTTGCAGTAACCTTCCCCTGGAGTGAGGTGGGAATGGGGATTTTACAGTATCCTTCCCCTGGAGTGGGGAGGGAATGGAGATTTTACAGTATCCTTCCCCTGCCACGCCCACCAAGCCACGCCCACAGAACTGGTAGTGAAAAATTTTGAAACCCACCACTGCTTCAGTCCCTCCAAGAGAAGAGAGGGCAGACTATCGTGTCCCCTTGGGGGAGAAGCAAGGCCATCTGTCTTAAGGAGCTGCCTGACCTGGAAATATCCCTTCGCTTCAGCCAAGCTGTTTCTTTCTGCAGTTCTGCTCGCCTCCCTTGGCAGCCTGAGCTGAGATGGCATCTTAGCCCCAATCCAAAGAGACGGATCAGAGAGCTGATCATTTCTTAAGCAACTTTTCTCAAGCTATGTGGACTTTCACTCCCAGGATTCTGCCTACTATGCTGGCTGGGGGATTCTGGGAGTCGAAATCGACACCGCTAAAAGTTGCCAAGGTTTGGGAAATGCTAAAGTTACACGATGAACAGGGAGGGACTCTGCGTGTGAATCAGTTTATCAGCAAAATATCTGGAGATACTTGGCATTTTAAAGCTCTGCATCTATTCTCAAGAGGAAATTCAGGAGTTACAAGAAGCAAAGGTGAAAAAGAAGAAAAGCCCAGCTCCAATTTAGAGCACAAAACCTTCCTTTTGTGGAGTCAGCCCTCACCTGCCGTTGCCTTCAACATAAACAGGCCCCAGGTGATCTGCGCAAAGTTTGTTTTGAAAAGCGAAAACGTTTGCAGAGGATATTCTGGCTTGCAGAGCCAGAGAGGTAATTGGGTATTTTTGGAGTGACTCCAACCTGCTCTTTTGCTTGGAAAGAATCTCGGCCGTTTCAACATTTAAAAAGAAAATGATGATCAATAAACACAAGAGAGCAATAAAAAGAGCAGCATGCAGTCAAATAAAACAGCTAAAGACAAAAGGCGGAGAAATATGAGGCCAGAGGGGGTTAAAGGGGGCATTTCCTTGCTTTTGGGTTGGGACTGTCTTCCAGTCCACCTTCAGCCATGGACAACCCTCTTTCTCCAACCCCAAAGCTGTTATTGTGGGGTGGGAGGAGCTATAGACACTGCCTTGAGCTCCTGCAGGAAAGGTAAGATAAAAAATTAGCCAATAATTTAACCAGTTAGCACAACCCACTGAAGTGTAGTCTACCCAACCAGATTGGATTTACCTCTTGACCCCAACATTTAGCCAAGCACATTTTGGTCTTCCACATCGTACAAACTCAGTGAAAGAAAGGCAGGGAGGCAGATCTCCAGTCAAATTAAAAATCGGATTCCTACATTCCTATCAGGTGCCAAAAAATCTGGACCATCCGTGTAGGTCACAGCATGAATGATGAATTGAAGCCTATACACAAGAATGTGTTCCACTAACCATCAGCACTAAATTGGCGCTAAAGAAGGTCAACGAAATTCAAGAGTGGGCTGGACTTGGGTCTCTTGTGGCAATGCTGAGATTCTAAACTGATGACCTGTTTTACTCTGCCCTCCATTTCTCCCTGTTCTTCTGCTACGATTCCCACAGAAGGTACAGCATTCAAGCCAAGAAGATTCCTGGAGTCAAAATTCAAATCCTGGGAACTCCACAGAAAAACATCCATGACATTCTCTTGGCAACATTATGGAAGCAGTTCATCTTTCTCTTTCTCCAGGATGTTTTTTCAACTTCCAGGATAAGCTTCAGATTTCTGATGGACTCTCATCCAGGTAAGAGTTAGTATTAAACCCTGCTTAACCTCTGAGGCTAGGTGAGGACTGCCAACTTTTTAACCCAACTAACTAGAGATATTGCAACATCCTGTTGCTATTATCCGTGTTCTTGTATGTTCTTCCAGAAAGTCAAGATCATTTGAAGACTGAAGAACATTCTGCCCTAATATGTGAGAAAGACTGAAGAATGGTTTGCCAAGAAAACGCACAATGTTCCTTCCTTAAGGGGCTGGGCCTGCTTTCTTGTTCCTGAGATTTCACACTCCGATTTTGCTTTCCAGGAGTTCAAGCTCAACAGTTTTTATCATGTGTCTCCACCTTGGCTTTTATTAATTAGCACAGATTTTTAATTAGTCCTTCAGGATCGTCCTGTTGTAAAATATAACAGTTGGCCATGAATAAGACATGAGAGGAAGACGAACTAGGGAAGGCTTCACACCTTTGCTCCAACTTCTCCCACCAGATGGACCTGGCAGCCTCTTTCAAAGGCTCTGCAGCCAGGCAAAAGTTGGCCTGAGAAATGAAGATCTCATGGGGGTTTTGCATCCTGACTTCTAAGTAGGTGGCTGAGGAAGAGATGAAGGGAGGCAGGGAAGAGCCACTTGGGGAAAGAGAAGATGTCAGCTTTTTTAAAGAATGAACAGTTGTTTCAAGAACTGAGGGAAACTATACAAGTAGCTCTCAAACCAGGAAATCTCCAGACATGCCCATCTTCCACCCCATGACCTGCAGCTGGTGCAGCTGTTCTGCAGGACCACATTTCCTTTCCTCTGTGCAGAATAGTAGAGTGGTGGTCCTCCTATCCTACTGAAGGGCACCTGATGGGCAGGGCAAAGCAAGGCCAATTGATCCAAGCAGCTTTTTCTCCTCTGGAATGCCCTTCTAAGCTTTGCAATTGCCCCAAGAAATCATCTCCAGAGATTGGAAGCAGAATAAGGGGGACAGGAGTCTAAACCTCTGGATTGCTGCTCCACCCATCTCCTCACCCTTCTCTTGGCCAACACCCTTGGTGCAGGATGTTCAGCCACAAAGTACTGCTTTTGCAATGATTTCCTAGATCTCAGTCGCGTGCATCGATTGGTTCAGTGTTTCCCAACCCGGGCCATTTGAAGATGGGTGGACTTCAGCTCCCAGAATTCCACATCCAGCATGGAATTCTGGGAGTTGAATTCTGGGAATTCTGGGAGCCATTCATCTTCAAATGGCTCAGGTTGGGAAACACTGAACAGAAGTAAGAGATGCTACAAAGCTCCACTTCTCTCCTGATGCCTACAAGGATCCCATCAACTCATCATTAGTGTCACTGGTCCCTTTGAAGACCCACAGATCTGTAGACCGTCCCCTGAAGACTCCTGGCTCTGGAGCTCCTCCTCCTGTGGATACCACAAGCCAGTGCACATGCAAAACAGTGCCCCTAGGGAGAGGGAGAGAGCAGGTCCCACCTCAAACTGAGTGCCCCTCTGTTCCCAGGTTGACCAGAGGGGCTGTGGGAAGAGCAGTGAAAAAAATATTGCACTCTTCTCATGCTTTCTTTGAAAGCCACTTGTTTCAAGGTGCCACAGCCCTCTTATTGACACTAACAAGAGTGCACTTACCATAGAGAATAGTGACCAGAGATACTGGCATCACCAGAATGCCCACCAGCATGTCCGCCACAGCCAAGGACATCAGGAAGTAGTTGGTGGCATTTTGGAGCTTCTTCTCCAAGGAGACCGCCATGATAACCAAAATATTTCCACCAATAGTTAAGATGATGATGACCAGAATCAGGAGGGCTGGCCAGTTCTTCTCATTGATGGGCTTCCGAGAGATGTCTGCCCCCATGGAGGAATTCAGAGGATCTGTTGTTGGCAAACTGTGATTCCCAGTCAAGTTGTGACTCAGTGGCCAAGCCATCAAGCTGCTGTGCAGGCTGAAGTCCAGAGTGATGGATACGGTTGTCAAGCCAAGAATCCCTCCCCCACTGAGGGCACTCATCCTTTGCACACAGGTGGCTTCCTCTCCTCAGGAGCACCTGCAGATCAATCCCTTTCTCAGAGGGGAGAAGACCGAAGGCAGCCACTGGATGGCCCAGCATTGGCACAACAAAGGTGCTTGACCTTCCATAGTGGATGGAAGCTTGTTGAAGCCAGAGTGATGTTCTTCCAGGGTGCCATGCAGGCCAGAGCCCAGAGCTTGGAAAGGTCAGCTGGTGAAGAGCAATGTGATCTTGGCAGCAATGTCCAGCATGTCCTCAAGGCCAGCATTCTGTGAAAGACAGAAAGAAAGAAAGAAAGAGGCACCTTCACTTATGCAGCCACTGGGGCAAAATCAGATGTGTGGTTGTCCCACCAGCTCTATTCCCAGAAGCCTCACTTCTCTCCACCGGTCAAGCCTGTTAGAAGAACTCCCTGGTGGGCTTCCAAGCCTTGTCCTGTTTGTCTCATGAACAGCGCCCCACAGCGGAAGAATTAAGCATCCCAAAGAAGGGGCTCTCCATCAGCAAAGAGCTCAGTCTGGCCCAGAAAAGCTTGGTTTCTGCAATCTTTCAAGACACCCCAAAACTTTCTGCGTCTTTCCTGCCGCAGACGGAACGTGGCTCTTGCCCCAGGGGAAAGCTCAGCCTCGCCACTTCCAAGAGGCCAAAGAAAGCCAGGAAGGAATCATTGCCCTAAATGGAAACATTTGGAAAGAACTTGAGGAGGAAACAGCACAGCCATTCAGGAAGGGGGAGAATTTCTTTTTTGGCTAAAAAAGTCGGCTGCAAGTCTAATTCCAGAGACGGGTTGGCCATCCCACAAGACAACAGAGCAGCAAAGGGAGGAGGAGAGGCGGGGGGGACATGGCCATCACATCTCCTCCACAAACCAGAGCTGGGTTTCAGCAGGTTCTGACCAGTTCTGGAGAACCGGTAACGGAAATTTTGAGTAGTTCGGAGAACCAGTAAATACCACCTCTGACTGCCCCCCTCCTCCCCCATCTATTCTCTGCCTCCTGAGTCTCAGCTGATCAGGAGAAAATGGGGATTTTGTAGTAACCTTCCACTGGAGTGGGATGGGAATGGAGATTTTATAGTATCCTTCCCCTGCCACGCCCACCAGCCATGCCACGCCCCCTAAGCCACACCCACCTAACCGGTAGTAAAAAAAAATGGATTTCACCACTGGTTCTGCAGGTTCTACCTGCTGGCTGCAAAGTGTCCGAATTTTTATCCCGTGACCATTGGGATGCAGTGGCATGAGTGCAAGGACCGGTCCGAAGTCATCTTTTTCAGTATTGTTGTAAGACTGAAAAGTAACTAAATGATGGGTTGCAAATCTCCGAATAATATTTTGACTTTCCCCGTTTCCTTGGAAGCCTTTTTGGTGGTGGCCCCCTACCTTGGGAATGATCTTCCGAGGGCCCCATCTTTTCAAAAGCCCCTCCATCTATTCAGCCTCTTCGCTGGCTTTCAAACTTTCTCCGGTTGCTATTTTTAGTTTCCTAACCGAAGGCTTTTCTCCATAATTGGATGGTTTGATCTGCTCTTCTAAAAACGGCTTCGTGAATTTAGCTGACTTTTGGAAGGGAGCCTGGGCCGAGGGCCTCCTCCAAAGGACTCGCCTAGGGATATGCTCAGGAGGAGGAGCCCCAGCCATACCCAGAAAAATTACAGCCCAGGGACCACTTTCGACTTCCCAAGCTTATAGTCAAAATGAAAAGTTTTCCTGTCGGAACCAAGGAAACCATTGTCACAGGTGGCTGCAGAAGGAGGAGAGGAACCAGCTAGCTATATTCATTGGACAATGGGACCGATGACACTGAGGAGGGGCGAGAGGTTTACTCTTTTAATTGGGTGAAAACCGCAGGAATTTTCAGAGTCGGTTTTCACCGGCTGTGCCGATATGATGTATCCAGTACAGCGGTGAAATCTACTTACCTTCCTTACCGGTTTGGAAGTACACACGCCGTGCGCACACACTTGCTTTGCTCACGCATGTGCATCACATACGCACGCAGACCCTCTGCACATGTGCAGAGGGTAAAAAATACATTACTTCCTGGTTAAAACCTGGAAGTAACAACAATCGAACCGGGAGCATTTCACCCCTGATCCAGTAAACCTGTTCACTGAGGAATTTACCTGCTTCAGAGTTCTGATTTCAATGGATGGGTTACTCGGAAAGCTGACACATTAAGCTCAACCGCCTCTCTTTAACTCTGCACCAAGGTGGGTTTTTTTCTTTCTTTCAATTGCTGGGCCAGCCAGGTTAAGAACCATCTGAAAGTGACCTGGGTCAGATCCTGCTTTCCCAAATACTTTCAGCCATAATCTCAAGAGCCGAAGGCTCCTCCATCAACAGAATGAAGAGCAAGGAGAGCAAACAAATTCAAATCTCTTGAAAATATTCTCATTTCAAGTCAGCACGTTCTGGAATCTGGTTGAGTGACAGGTCGAACCTTTTAAGATGGGGTGGCCACAGGGGTGAAATCCAGCAGGTTCTGACAGGTTCTGGAGAACTGGTAGCGGAAATTTTGAGTAGTTTGGACAACTGGCAAATACCATCTCTGGCAGGACCCAGAGTGGGGAGGGAATGGGGATTTTGCAGTATCCTTCCCCTGGAGTAGGGTGGGAATGGAGATTTTGCAGTATCCTTCCCCTGCCACGCCCACCAAGCCACACTCACCAAGCCACACCATGCCCACCAAGCTATGCCCACAGAACCGGTAGTAAAAAAAAATGGATTTCACCACTGGGTGGCCAACACCATCGTCTTCACTGGACCTTCATCTCTGCGGAGGCAAAGCTCTGTTCTTAGCTCATTAAAATGGGCTGGCATCACTACATTAAAGGAAAGAGGAATGCAATATTCTTGCAATAAACGTGCAAATTATGTCCACTTTGCCAACCTTAGTTGTGAAGTTTAAAGCCTCTCGTCCACCCTCAGAACCTTTTTCTCCTTTTCCTTAGTTAATTTTCAGCTTAATGGCTTGTAATTCACTTTGGTTTGTAATTGGTGGAACCCCAGTTATTATGTCAGGATGATCCAGCTTTGATCGTTCTTGACATGCTGGAGTGCACACATGTGTTGATTTTAGGGGGAAAGAATGTCTTGAAAAGTGGGGGGGACACAAGGCCAGAACATCAAACTTTGTTCCACACATTCCCTGCAGTGGCTTTCTCAGAACTGAGTCTCAAAGAACTGTTGTTATCCGAGAATGATTCTGTCATTTTTAAAAAAAAATTAAGACCTTTGACCTGCAGAAGGAAAGGTTGAGACAGCATTCTGGGGAATGGATTCTCCATCCCTTTCAATCCTGGGAATCACCACTGAAACATCACATTTTCGTTCCCCTTTTTGGCACAGTTCAGATCTCTCTTCCTATAGCATTACTATTAATCTTCTCATCATTCCCATCACCCATCTCCTCCCACTTATGACTGTAGGACTGTAACCTTGTTGCTTGTATCCTTACGATTTATATTGATTGTTTCCTAGTATGATTCGATTGCTTATTTGTACCCTATGACTATCATTAAGTCTTGTACCTTATGGTTCTTGACAAACGTATCTTTTCTTTTATGTACACTGAGAGCTTATGCACCGGAGACAAATTCCTTGTGTGTCCAATCACACTGGGCCAATAAAAAATTCTATTCTATTCTATTCTATTCTATTCTATTCTATTCTATTCTATTCTATTCTATTCTATTCTATTCTATTCTATTCTATTCTACTATTCTATACTGCAAATACACGAAACAGCTTGGAAACAGACTCCAAGTCACAGCTGACTTCCAAAACTTTGCTCTCCAAGGCTTTTAGAACTGGAGTCTCCAATCTTGGCAACTTTATGACTTGCCCATGTTCCACCAGGACTTGCCCAACAAAGAAGCTGCCTTCAACTGAGCTAAGTCTCCTGCTTATGCTTTCCACAGCAGTTTCTCCTGAACTTGACTCATTGGCAGGTGACAACATGGTGCTAATGATATGAACTGTGTCATATATGACAGCAAATTATTTCATGCCCATCGTTTGTCCCGTGATGTGGTCATCTTGTGGTATGTACCAGATATCTAGAGAAAAGAAGGCCTTGGGGGGGGACGGGACATGATAGCAGTATTCCAGTATTTGAGGGGCTGCCACAAAGAAGAGGGGGTCAACTTATTTTTCAAAGCACCTGAAGGCAAGACAAGAAGCAATGTGTGGAAACTAATCATGGAGAGAAGCAACCTGGAATTAAGGGGAAACTTCCTAACCATGAGAGCAATCAACCAGTGGAACGGATTGCCTTCAGGATCTGTGGGTTCTTCGTCACTGGAGATTTTTAAGAAGAGTCTGGACAGACACCTGTCTGAGATGCTGTAGGGTCTCCTGCTTGAGCAGAGGGTTGGACTAGAAGACCTCCAAGGCCCCTTCCACCTCTATTCTGATTGATTGATCTACTCTTGGCTTGGTCTCCAAAACAGACCAGGGATAAGTATGAAACTACAGAGGAACCAAGCACTTAACACTCTCATGAGGCTCAACTGCAGCCACGATCACTGAGCCCCCCCCCCCGGCCGCCACCCCAAATGCCAGCTTCAAACAGGCAGGATTGCAGCCTGAGTCCCCTTAGGCTACCCCACTCAGCCATTCTCAGCATCCCAGGAGGGGGTCCATTCATCCCTGACCGTCCGAGAGAGCTCAACTCCCTCGCTTTCTGGTGGTTGCAGGTGCCCCCCCCCACTCCCCGCCTGAGCTATTGTTGGCTGCCTCTGACGACAGCGAAGACGGCAGAGCCAAACTTGGAACGTGGTGCTCCCAGTTGTGGCATGAATCAGCGCTCCACAAGTTGCGACGATGACTCAAGAACTGAAGCTGTTTTCTTCCTTCCCTTCGGAAGCTCCAATGGGGGCTTCACCCCCTTCCTCCAACTGCTTCTCCCTGCAGCTGGACTGGCTTGGCTTTAACACTCCCAACAACTGCCGGCCCCTTAAAGCCAGCACTGAGGTCCTCATTCTACGGCAGACAAACAGGGGTTGTGAAGATGCTCCCTGGATGCTGCCAGGCTGTGTGAATCCTCAATGAAGCTGCTTTCCTCACACTCCTGTGGCTTCTCCTCCTCCTCACGCTGTCCACCCACCCGGCTTTCCTGAAGAATCTCACAGCTGAATCTCTCCCCAGAAATCAGCAGGGGGCTTCTCAGCGTCCCCTCCCCCTCCCTCGAGAACAGCCCAGGCCATCACCTGGAGACCCCCGTCCCACTTCCAGGTGTGGAAAGGAACATCCAGGGCCATCCCACACCGGGCTCCGACCAGGAGCTCTTCTGAAAGGGACCAGAGCCAGGGCCCAGCCACCGAATCATCGTGCCATCGGTCTGTTCAAGAGTGTCAGGGAGTTCCAAAGGCTGCAGTTTTGGCAATGGGCCCAGAAACAACAAGGCCTGTTTTGTTAACACCAGCATTTATTTTGTCAAAGAACAGATGAAACTAAGCAGCCCGTTTCCCAGATGAAGCACTTTCTCATTTTGAGATTTGCCAGACAGGCCCGGCCAGGTGTCCTGCATAACTCACGAGGGAAATAGTTCCTCCTTTTTGTTCACAATTTGGATGAGCCCCAGAAAGGCTCTTCAGAGCCCTTCAACCTCTTGGATTTAGAAGCATGCAGAAAGATCCTCCCTGGATCAGGCCAAATCTACCTGATCCATCGTCCTGCGTCCTGTTCTAAGCCAGCTGAGCACACAAAGGGCCAGGAGGAGAAACTGCTCTTCCTCCTCAGAAACTCTTCACCAAACATGGAAGATTTCCCTGAAACACTTCGCCACAAAAAGTGCAACCAGTCAAGGACCCTGGAGACAATTCTCCTCCTTTTTCTCCAGAATTGTCTTTGTTGACCCCAACAAGAGCAGAACTTCCTCTTGCCTGCTCAACAGTCTCCACC